TGAGATGGGAGAAGGTGATGAGATGTCACTTTCTCCCGGATAAGAGTGCAAAGTGAGCCATCAGTTTGGACTGGTAAGGAAACAACCAGGAGGCAGATTTTCAATGCGATTTGACTAGGATACCAGACAGCACAGCGTTACACTGTCCAGGCCAGTTTGAATACCTTACCAGATTATTGTCATTGTCTATACTCCCAGGTGGTTGAAAAGGCAAATTCAAGAAAAATAATTTCTCTCAAATTTACTGTAACACATCAACTATATTAATTTTATTGATCTGGGAAGTACAGAAATCTGACTTAATCCAACCAAGAGTTAAACCTGTGGCCCTAAGGTTTGAAGAGATTCTAAGTTCTAAATTACACACATTGATGCCATTGGAAATTTTTCTGTACACAATTTTTCGGTATTATTGAGGCTATTCACAAAAGTCCAAATGGCCTAGCACAGAACTAGGAAAAATCATATAGGCCATACAGACTGCAAACCTCAGACATTGTTGAGAGTATTTAACAATGCATCACCAGTGATGCAGGTTACAGCAAATGCTTTGAGCAGACTCAGACTGGCCATAGGGCATTCCAGGTTAATCCTGGTAAGGGAAAGTGCATAGTGGGTCCGTCTCCATTCTGAAAATTTCCAAGGATGAATTCTACCTGTTGTGTTGTGGTGGCTACTGGGTTATATCCCAAGCCAGCTGCACTTTCTACTTCCATCCTTCGCCGATTTGTCTCCATTCAATGCAGCATGGAGCTCTGCTACTTATAAACCCCAATGAACTGTGACAACCCATGAAAGATGCTGTGGCCAGTAAGACCTAGACCACAAAGGCAGGGTTAGATGCTGCCAGGAGAAAAGTAAAGTGATATTGGCAGAGAGCACATTATTAGGGAAAGCGGGGTAAAATGATCATTGAGAAAAAAGTGAGATTTAACTAAAATGTGAGTAAAGGTGACATAGGGAGTGGGTAAAATGCCATTGGAGGAGGGGGAAAAATAGTATGATGAAATGAGGTGCATGAAGGATTGAAAAATGACATGGAGTAATAGCATATACCGCTTAAAGTTGACTGTTTTGTCCTTTATTAACTGTGTCTATTGTTGTCTGAAGGCTACTGCAGGAAATCTTACTATGTAAGTAATGGAAGGGATACCGTGAGGTTTAGGGCTACAAGGTTCACTACAGGAGTAGGAGTATGGAAGTAGATTTAGAGAGCTTGTTTAAATTTTAAGATTTGTGACAACTGGAATTACAGTTCGCTTTAGAATAATGTCTGAATTAAATTTTTGTATAATAAACTGATTATAGAATAAGTTTAGAGGTAAGGCTGAATTAACCCTTAACCCTAATTTTACCCTTATCTAAACTCTACATTTCCTAACTCCCTGTATCATACCTCCTAAGTATAAACCTCACTGTAACCCTAACTTTACGTAACTTGAAGGACCTCGAGTAACCCCATTCAGCCAGTGTGTGAATTCCTAGGAGGTCAGAACAGAACCCTATTGATTACCAACCCAAACACACTGGCACTGCTTATAGGAAAAAAACAAGGTCTTGACTTAATACGCTTTCCATATTATTCAATACTTTTAGAAAAACTTTCCAAATTATTTATCTACAAACATTCTCTTAGACTTTAATGATGACTTCTGTAGATAAATCATTTGGAAACTTTTTCTAACAGTATTGAATTATTTGGAAATCTTAATAAATTGAAAGGCAAGTCGCAGTACTGTATTTATTTCAGAATAATACCATGCTTCCATATGTCCATTCACACATCCTCTCTTATATGGAAACATGGTAAATTTACTAAATCAAGCACATCTGAAAAATAACCTAGTCTTCTTTAATGTATACTTCAAGGCAGCGGTGTATTTTGGATTTGTGCTACCCTAGGCACGACTAAATTTGGGGACCCCCAAAATCTAAATTTGACCCCCCAATTCGTGTCAAAGCCACTTTTGTGACTGACAGACACATGCCCTCATTGATACATGCACTGATATACACTCACTGACAGATACACATTCATTGGTACACACATACACTCATAAGCACACACTGTTTAACCAACATACACTTTCACTGACAGACACACACTGACACACCCACTCACTGACAGGCACACACTCTCAGATACACATAAAATGACATACACACACTGACACACACTCACAGGCACACCCATTCTCACTGAAACAGACACACACTTTCACTCACTCACTTACAGTAAGGTGGACAGCCCCAGAACACAAGGCAAGCAAGGCATTTGTCTGGGAGCTTGGGGTGGCATTTTTTGGCGAACCCCCGAAAGTGCCGCCCTAGGCAAATGCCTTGTTTGCCTTGTGGTAAATACATCCCTGCTTCAAGGTTCAACTTAACCTGAAATTTGTACACAATATAAAATGACAGATCTGAACCTGTATAAAACTGTTTTTTGACAAACTATATAGTAAAGCTGAATTTGATTGTGTATATTAAATAAAAACATTTTTGTTTTCCATTAGAATTTATGTTAAATCATATTCCATGTTACAATCATTGATTGCTGTCATCATAATTTGCATTTTTTTAAATTAGTCAACACACTAAAAGTACAAATTAAAATGATTAAAATAAAAATCATTATTGCCGTGCAGAGACTGCACTATTAGAATTAATTACACACAAAGTACATTTGACTGTAAAATTTGATATAGAGATATTTTCACTGTACATCAGGCAAGTTTGTGCAGTTCCAGTTATTTAAAATCTAATTTACGGAGATCTGACTGCAAAATGACAACCAACTCACAATATATATATATATATATATATATATATATATATAAATGCTTATAATAACAGTCAGTGTTAATACCTAGTTTACTTTAATTTATATGAATAAATGATCAGGGACTCTTGTAAAAATACATACTTAAATGTTAAACATGTAAAACATCTCCACAATCTATCAATTGCACTGCTTAACATGATTACATTTATATATATATATATATATTTAAATATATATATATATTCCACATTCAAACAACAATCCTGTCTCCCTAATATTAACCTCTTGTTGTTAGAGGAATTACTGGTAGTCTAAATCAAGCATATTTACAGATTGATTAAATATGAGGGGAAAAAAATACTAAAAATTGTGTTTCGGTCCTTTTGAATGCTTGGTAAATGTTATTGATTTCCATCCTATGATACTTGTGTCCCTCTTGTGGCCATCATTAACATTGCCTTGTTTTGAGTCACATCAATCTCGAGCTTTGTCATAGTAATTCACCATTTTCTTGATGTGAAACAGTTTGTTCCTGAGTTTTTTGGTTTCAGTCTTCTTGGTTTGATAGTCAGGGTTCTGATAAAATAAATCATATAGAAATGTTACTTATTTTTCTGTAATGATTTTAATGTGCTTACTGTAGTGGCTATTTAGTGAACTCATTGACTTTAGGGAAAATATGTCATAACCGTACATTGTATTTTATGTGGTAAAATGGCAGCAATAGTAAAAAAGTGTGTAGCGCTAAAATTAATATTGCCCTTACCCCCAAGGGTTAAAATAGATATTTTATCTTTCAGCACCGTATCTCTATTTTAACCCTTTGTGGTAAGTGCAATATATTATTTCAGCACTACACACTTTTTACTATTGGTGTAATTTTACCACATAGTATCTATTTCTATTTAATTGTAGGTTAGGGAGTTCCTTCGATTGTTTGAAAGCTGCTATCGAAAATTGTTCTGCATTTTATTATATTTCTAAGCGCCTTTAAAGGACCACTATAGGCACCCAGACCACTTCAGCTTAATGAAGTGGTCTGGGTGCCAGGTCCAACTAGGTTTTAACCCTTCACATGTAAACATAACAGTTTCAGAGAAACTGCTATATTTACATTTGGGGTTAATCCAGCCTCTAGTGGCTGTCTTCCAGAGAAATAAGAAATGCTTTCCTATGGACATTTTGAATGTGCGTGCGGCACTTGCCGCGCATGCGCATTCGGCTCCAGTGACATCGGACGGGGGAGCTGACGTCGGCGGGGGAGGAGAGGTCACCAGCGCCGAAGGAGCCCGTCGCTGGATTAAGGTAAGTGGCTGAAGGGGTCACGCCACGGGAGGGGGACCCTGAGGGTGGGGGCACCCTCAGTGCACTATAGTGTCAGGAAAACAACGCAGTGATCCTTTAAATAGCAGTCAAGGATGAAAAAAAAGCCAAGTCCATCATATTCAGCTTTTTAAACCAAATTTGAATTGATTACCAGTAAATCTGTTTTGTTTTATTGTAAATAATGCTTTACTCGGGTAATGGCCTGGTGCTAAACATTATTTTGAATACTCAGTATCCAAAGCGTGACTTTTTGACTAATCATCCAAAAATAATCATATTTAAACTTTGTTTATTTCAACCTGATTCTCAGAATTTCTCAAAAGTTCAAATATCTTCTGATTTAGACAAATCAGAGCAATAGATATGTATGTGTATGCTATTCAGTTAGGTTATGTGTAGCTGGGTGAATATAATGTGTCTGTTCTAAACATTAGGGGAACACTGAAATAACATGGGACACAATGTTGGGTGCCAACCCAGGAGTTAAGAACCTTATGTGGCATATGTTTATACTTTCTTTTGGTAGTAAAGATGATCCTAACTTCTTACTTCTGTACTTTTGTTTAAGGAATACCTTGTGTGGTGACAATGGTGGCTTCAAGCTCACTATATGCAACACATATTTATTTGTTACTGTAGGAAAACTCAAATAGCAAGAACCTATTTTAAACAGGATTTGTAATTGGATTTAAAAAAATATATACTTTACGCATGTAAATAACTCTAGCAATGTACACTGTTAAAAATATATGATACACCTACAGACTCTGCAAAGAAAATGAGATGTACAGAAGCACCTGTCTGTCTGTTCACTAAATCCCAAATTGGCATATTAAGCCAGTAGAGCAGAAATGTGTAGAAAAATCTAATTTGGCTATTCAATAAAACAAATAGATTTTCAGCCTAATTTGAGATTGCAAAATGGCAGCATTTTGTTTCTGCTATAAAATAAGACAAATGTTTATGCAAAGCATTGGAATGTGACTATTTATTAAAAATAGAATTAAAAGTGAAATTAACCGATAACTTCACTTTCACCATAAAATAGCCACTTTCGCATAGTATTGCAAAATACCATTACAATCTCCTGCTCTTTTATTAGTAGTTACAGAATTGTACAAGGACTGATCAGGACAGTATGGAAGTTTTCATTTAAAGAAGTTTGTGTACGCTCTATCCTTGCTATAAGGTACTGGTATTCGGTAATATATAAGGGGCTCGTTCGTAGAATAAAACGTTTATGAGTTGTGTAATACAACGATTTTTAACTCTGGAACCACAGCGTGGTCCTCATACTCTGTTGATTAGGTCTCTAATGGCAGAAACATGTGTAACAAATTTCTTACGGCCCAAACAGCAATACATTTTTTAGTGCACCAGCATTTCCTTCCGTAAAACAATGGAGACCTGTCGGAGAGAGTCTAAAGAAGGCACTTAGGCAGTAACTTTGGTATATATTTTATCAAGACGTAAAATCTGAAGTCCTTTGCTACTAGCCAGACCACAAAAGTTACTTGCTCCTGCAAGCCATAGCATACAACCTGGGAGAAATTTCTACTTGCCAGGGCTAAATTTTCACCACAAAATTGCTGTTGGAGATTGTCAATTTTGAGCCCTGATTTTATCACAGTTGAAGAACAAGTCTCTTAAAGTAAGTCCTATAACAGTGATGTGTTGATTTTAAATAATATAGTAACTTACTCTCTTCAGATCCTTCAGTCTGTTGTACTCCTCAGCTACACCCTGAATGCAAAAATATATCATTAGAAAGCAGAAGAAAAGTGTCTAAGCATGGAATGAAACAAGAAATTGTTGGCTTCATTGGAAAGATGAGAGACACTTGGTGGTACCTGGTATTGGACACTGCCCTCAGCTAGTCCATCCAGCTGTTTGCTGAGTTGCTGCAGCTGGTTGTTGATGTCATCCATCTCGGCACACATGCGTTTGTAACGCCGCAAATCAGTGTCAAACTCGCGCTTGTATTCCTGCCGCTGTGCGTCTGAAGTAATTGGTGGGTACAAACTAAGAAAGAGAAATGTTGGTGATGATCATGTGCACAGTTTCTTTCCCTCACTATAAAACCTCTTTCAGTTTACTGCTCCTGTAGAAATTTGCCTCCCTTCAGCAACTGAACATGACTATTCCTGAAATTATACGTTTATCCTAAATATTCTGCTCTTCCTCCAGTGGTTTTGCATTTTCAATCCCTCCACAAAAGCTAATGTTTCTCTTCCACTTAGGACCCTATTAGTTATGAGAGACTCTTGTCCTACAGTCTGCTGTTTATCTGGAATGCTCAACTCATGACATTTCATTATTTTTGAGCAAATTCCTTCTTTGCAAAACTTCTGTTCCTTTTATGCCATCTTCCAAACACGATAACTTCTTACTCATACCTTTCCCAATTCTCCACATCTCTGTCGTCATCTGATTCCACAGCTGTGGTATAATCTGTTTCATACTGAGATTCATCGAGTTCTGGATTCCTTCTCCACCTCCGACCTCGACGAACTGGAGGTCTTCCTCTGCTCTGTTCTTGATACACACTCTCTGGTACAGGAGAACTGCAAATACATACATATTAGTCTATTAACACTGATAGATACATACTGTTTGGGCTGTGAAGGTATAAAAGAAAAAGTAAACTTTAGGTATAAAAGAATAAATAAACATTTTTTACACGGGCCACTCCAAAGAGCAATGCATTCAGTTTTCTAAAATGATATTTAAAGTTCGATTAGAACATTTCCTGTTACCTGCCCTCCACTATTTCTAGGGTTATTTCCGGTTATCTGCCTCCACTATTTCTACTATTTTTAGGTTTAGGGTAAGAATAATAATTGAGTTAGTCTAAATTAATTCCTTACCCTAATTTGAAACCTCACCTTAACCCTAAATGTCCTATTATCTGCCATCACTATTTCTTTTATTTCTTACGGTCAGAATAATAATTGAGCGAAGCTAATGTTTAAACAGGTTTAAAATGATTAAAATTCAAAAAAATAAACTTTGAAAGAAAATTAGTGTTAGGAACTATTTTAGCCTCACTCAATTGTTATAACAGGTAAGGTCTGAAAGAGTTATTTGTTTAGTAATTTTTAACTCTATAATAAGGATCCCAAATTATTACAACTGATCATGGCAGGATTTCCCATCAGGCCAAGTACAGTGCACGTTTGATAGAGGCATGTTTGATAGTAGTTCCTACACTGCTAATTAAAGACTGCCTCTGGGTTACATCCAACTCAAGAGGAATCAATTTCCCAGAGCTCCTGCCTTGCAAAGACTTTTCATTGAGCTGTATTGGGAAATCTGTGATTGGACAACCACAGAAAGTTTGGGAGGGGTTACAAGGGGAGGACTTATAAAGGCTGCAGATAAGAGAACTGCAGGTTTTGCAAGATGTTTTTATATCTATAACCACAATGAAAAAGTTTTCGTTTGGTGTATATCTTCTAAATAGTGATACTTTTTGTATTTGGACAATGGAGTAATCCTTTAAAAACTGTAAAAACTGTCTTGCATCCCTGCTAAGTTTAGATATTAATTATATCTCAATGGCAATACAAATTCCAGCATTATGTGAATAGCTCAATAAACATAGCACACTAAGGACATAGTTACATAGTTGATGTGTCCATCAAGTTTTGCCTTCCATACATCTATTTTTTACTGTTGAGCCAAATGAAAGTAAAAAAAATAAAAAAAAAAGCCCAGCTTGGAGCACTTTCAATTTTGCAACAAATTAGGTAAAAAATTCCTTCTTGACCCCAGAATGGTCAGATTTATCATTGGATCAAGGAGCTACAGTTGAAAACCCTGCAGTTGAAAAATTCTATAATTGGATATTGTGTTTTTGCAAGTATGCATTTAGTTGCTGTTTAAACATCTGTACAGACTCTGATAAAACCACTTCTTCAGGCAGAGAATTCTACATCGTTATTGTTCTTACGGTAAAAAACATTTCCTTTGCCTTAGACTAAATCTTCCTTCTTCTAGTCTAAACACATGACCTTGTGTCCTATGTATAGCCCTAATATGCTTGTCTAATAGGTACTGATTTAATACAAGTGGTGCAAATTGTATTTATATTTATAAATCCTGGTCAGTGTTAGTCACTGAGAACTAGCTTAAGAAGCACTGATGTTTTGCAAATCTAAACACTGAAAATCATTGGGAGGGGTATTCCAAATTCCAATATATACTACTGAAAAATAAAAATAAAATTACATTTTTTTGTTCTTTTTAAAGTTACCATTTTTGATCCTTTTCTCTTTCCTTTAAGTGCCCAGAGACATGACCTGCATTTAGAAAATGCAATCAATTTGGAAATGCTGAAAATGGAAAGGTAGGAGGGCAACATGGCTATAAGCTCTATTTAATTGTAGGATGTTTACAATTATTTGACCCTACTTACATAAAGTACTGCATGAAGCAATATACATAGGGATTAGGGTTTAACTTCATCTCTCACCCCCACATTCACCAAGCCACACATGAGATTCAGACTTCTGCCCCTGCTGGACACTGCAGGGCATGCAATGTGCATAAAGTGGAGTGGCACTCACTAAAATTTCCAGCAGTATTGCCTCTAGACCAGGGTAGTCTGCTGGACACGTATTGACGTCAATTGTCATTCTGCGTCCTTTCTAACATGAACCACTTAATTTCTGCAGCTCCTTATACCTGTCCTAACTTGTCTAATTTTTTTTGGAGCTGCAGTGGCCAGCATCATCTTATCAATATTGGTTGTGTACATGTTGGTGCCAAAATTATAACCGACCAATAGTATATAAGTTCAGGCTATTTAAGACCACTCCTCAGTTTGTCCATTGCCCTGTTTTTGTTCCTGATACCTGAGAGTGCATTTCTGATTGTTTGCTTATACTGGTTACTCATTCTGCTCTGTTTATTATTTTTGCAGTGCTTAAAGTTACAAACATGCTTGTATTGCCACAACAGCAGGTACAAGCTAATAAGTAAAACTGGGAAACAAGATCATGGCATGCAAGAACGGCACAATTTGTATAATTATTTCAGGTTAGGTAGATATGTCTAAGGCTGTAGTTTAAACTAGGGGATTAACTACATGAGACATATTAGACATAGTGAGTTATGTCAGAAGAGAAATACTATGGTAATAATATAAGTCGAGGAAGCATGCTAAAGGTGAGAGTCAGCAGATACACAATAGGGTATATGGATCAGATAACTGACTACACTGGAGAGGCTATACTTAGAGTGGGCTCATCAGGCTGAGTACTAAGTAATGCCGACACCAAGATATGCAAAAACTAGGTTATGCCAGTCAGGGTAAGCCACTCGTGAGCCAGGTGTGTGGGGCAGGTGTGCCAGGTAAGTACAGTTCACCCTATGCCAAAAGTGGGCCACGGTTCAAAGTCCAGCTCTGTGTCGTTAGCAGTGGGATCGCCGTCCCAGGAGCAGGTCCAGACGGTGTGGATGAGAGGGACCTTCTCCATTCCAAGACGTTTACCTCTTCGTAGCACAGTAGCGTCTGTGTTCTGTGGGCATGCTTGTGGGCGCATGGGCGACGCCTTGTGCATCTGCCGTGTCCTTTGTCCCTGGCTCCAAGCCTTCGCGAGTGCCAGCTCTGGATTTCCCTGGCTTCTCACTCTGTGCTTAGCGTAGTTTTGGGGCTTAGGGGTCTCCATCTTCCAGGTGTCTTTCTGGACACCAGGGTTGCTGACGGGAGGCTTCTCCGGATGGACTCCCATCTCGGGAGATAGACAGGCATTGGAGTTTGCAGCTTGCGGTAGCTTTGTTGCCATAGGAGGGTGTAAGGTAGCTCTCTAAGTGATGCAGTGGCAGAACTTGCGGCATATGGCGTCGAACCGAGCCTCAAAGAGGGTCTTCCATTGAAGGCCTGGGCAGCTTTGTTGAGCTTCCAATGTGGTGGCCATCTTGCTTGCACCACAAGGTTTGCATTGTGCTGTTCCTCAGCCTTCTCGCTCTCTGTGTGTGCTGCACCTTCTGCGGTATGAGGACCGGGATATCCCCCACCGGTCCAGGGAGGACGGGGGGTAGGAGTGTAGCGGCCGCCTCTCCCGTGTCCAGGTCCCAGTAGGCCGCAACAGATCCTTGGGCTTCCCCGGGCTCCCCTGTGTGTGGATACATCTAAGGTTGAGCAAGTAAGCCCCAATGTTAGGCTTAGAAATGCTGGTTTCGTCGGGTAATGCGGGAGCTCAAGCTTCATGTGTCCGCTCAGCTTAGCGGTCAGACTCTGCCCCCCTGCTCTGTTTACTGACATTAGCCTGTTGTCTGATTGTGAGTATTTCTGTGTTCCCTGACCTTTTCTTGTCTCTGATCAATCTTTGTCTGCTTGCAGACTGCCTCTTATCAGAGCCGGTTTGTCAAGGGTCCCAGGCAGGATGCCAATATGTGGGGAGGCCTTCCCCATCCTCCCAAGCAGTCCTCATACACAGAATACTGCCCTGGGCCTCTATTTTGTAAATGAGGACAGCCTAGAGATGGGGAAGGCCTCCCCACATATCTCCACCCACTTACTTATTGACTAAAAGGGGGTGTTATCACTTCTGGTGGGATCCCTGGTGGTCTCCCCTGGGTGGGGCAGCATTGCCGTTTGCACCATTGTCAGGGATAGATTACTTTAACAGCATTTTTATTTAGCTGATATGCAGGGCTTGAAAGTACTACCTGTCCCTTTGTATAATGTATATGTGCTTTGGGGAAAAATCTAATAATTAATAAAAATATGGCATCCCAAAGTGACCAATGTTAATTGATTTCACACAAAACACATGGCATTCTGAAAGTCCTAGTAAAGTGTACATCATGATGTGACAACCAGGCTAACTAAGCAAGGCTACAAACATAATTTGATTTTGAGTAATCTAGAATAGAATTACATTACTGCTTCCCCTACATTTCCTATTTACATTTTTGTGACTACCTATATGCAAACACTGGGGTATTGTCTTACATTTGCCAGCATTTTCATTTTGATTGGGGTACAGCTGTTGCGATAACAGTATGTTCGTGTGTCAGTAATCAGGACTTGCAGTAAATTAGTGAATCTATTCTACATATTCTTACATACTATTCTGGGTCTTAGCTGTTCTCAATTTCATACATGTTTAATTTCTGCATTGCTTATATTGTTCTTACTTGTTTATATATACTTTTCAGAAATTATTGTTAATTTATATTGTGATCACCTATGTAAAATCATCTAGATCTTGATGTGTGGGCTATATACATTTTAAGTCAGCTGTACATTTCCCTATCTTAATTAAGGCTTCTATAATTGGAATGCTTAGATTGCTGGGTGGAGCTCTGCTAACTTGCAATTTATTCTACCTTGCAACAGTTTATTCTTGTGTGTGATATGTATGGTTGGTGCTTATTTTAATTTAACCACAGTAATAAAAAAATGTTTTCCTCCCACTTCTGCTTACCATTTTTACATTAAGAGGGCTATCTTCCCATGTGGTCTAGTGGGGATTAATAATATTTCCCTGGTTGTCAGGTAAGGGATAATGATTCCCTTGTGGTTTGGTGGGGGTTAATAATAATCCCTGGTTGTCAGTGTTCTTAATAAGGAATCCCTGGTGGTCCGGTAGTGGAATGCATGATCTGCCCCTCTTTCTGGAAACCAGAAGAATGTTGTCTTAGGGTAGTGCTGGCCATGAGTACCCACAATATAGTAAACCGTTGGCTTCTGTGCCAGCAAAGTGGCCTTTGTGTGCCCAAAATTAGCCATCGCTGTTCTAGATCCATATTCTATAGCTTTGCCTCTGTGGGTTACTGGATGATTGTGGCAGCATGCTGTGCCATATTTTTATGTTGGAGATAAATACATAACTGTACTCTATTCTTAAGATTTGTTGTTTCAGTACATCCCATAGATGCTCAATAGGATTAAGATCTGGGGCAACACCTCTTTGTTGTGATCCTCAAACCATTCCTGAATAATATGTGCCGTGTGACAGGGTGCATTATGGGCCACTGCCATCAGTGAACACTATTGCCATGAAGTGGTGTATGAGGTCTGCAACAGTCTCTAAGTAGGTGGTTCATGTCAAAGTAACATCCACGTAAATGCCAGGATCCAAGGCTTCCAAAGAGAAAATTGCCCAGATCATTGATTCATCAGACCAGAAGGATTAATATAGTCTGGCTTGTAATTAATTTAGCAGGCATGGGGGTTACAGATACAGGTTAATATAATACTCTGAATTCAATCAAATATTTGGTGTCACAATGTATTTTATAGAACACATTAGGATTTAGTGTTGGACTTAGAATATGGTATATGGTTTCTTTCAGGAGAGCCTTAAGGCAATAAATGTGGTAGGAGATAAAAAAAAAAAAAAAATGTACCCTAGGACTGAAGCCCATGCAACACCTCGGATTGATGCAAATTAAAGAAAAAATTACATTTATATGTTAATTTCCTTTAGTCTGTGCTACAACAAGGAGAATACCTCAAATTACATAATTTCTAACAATACCTCTTTAATGCACTGTATTTGGAGCACACTTTGGGGATATTGTAGTGGGTGCATGGTGTTAATGCAGTGGTGCCGTTATAATGCATAAAGTTTAGGGTTAATGCGGCAGCTGTAGGCTAGCAGGATGATAGACTAATACAGCAGGAGTAGAGTTTATAAATTTAGGTTTATATAATACGCTGAAAGATTCAAAGATCATTCAAAGATTTGAGGTCATAATGTGATTCACAGAACATATTACAGTTTAGAGTTAAGTATAGGGCATGTTATATAGTGATGTTTTGGGAGGGGCTTAACTCTATGTGGGAAATACCATAGAATAAATACTTTGAGCCGAAGTCCATTTTTGCTGCCCAGCAACACCCAGGCTTGTTTGGAAAGAATTCCACCCATGTTTCTGTTTTGATTATAAACTGTCTATTCTAGACAGTCTTGGTAAACAAGCATTTTCTATTATCTATAAAAATGATATATATATATATTTAACTACAAACCTGTTGTTGATGGGAGCCTCTGTTTTCTGGACAAAATCCTCCTGGGGCGGCTTGTAAATGCTGTTGTTGCTTAAAGCTCTTACTGGACTCTGTGGCTTATCTGAGTAAATCAGAGTGGCTGTATCATCAGGAGGGCCCCCTGGGACACTCTTTACCTGTGTAGAGGGATCACAATTAAGAGCTGATTTCTGTTTTAGAAGATTATCTTTCCATATCATGGTTCATGTTATGTGTATGCTGCTGACATCTGTAAAAGGTTGTGTACACCACTTACTAAGATTAAATTATAGCCTAGAGCAGGGGTAGGCAACCTTCGGCACTCCAGATGTTTTGGACTACATCCCCCATAATGCTTTTACACCCATAATGCTGACAAAGCATCATGGGAGGTGTAGCCCAAAACATCCGGAGTGACAAAGGTTGCCTATCCCTGGCCTAGAGGTTACTTTGTGGAGTAACAGAGAAGTAATTCTAGGTTGATGCACTGTCTATAGATTTGTCCAACTCCTGAGAAAAAAAAGAATGAGCATGGTTTGCAAAAACTGGTTGTCATTCCATGGAAGATACTTTGTAATGTAGAGCCACATCAGTGCCAAATGCCATATATTCACTTGACACATCTTCTTTTGTAATTATACATATAGTACCTTGACAAAGTTTCCACATATATAACCAATATGTACAAATGTTAAATTGAATTGCCTATTCTGTATGATTACTATATTAACTAAGTCAGAGGACAATGGAGAGTCCTAAAGAATGAGTTCCGGTAATTAGAAATTAACTGACGAGAAGGACTTCTCAGGTTATTGTTAGAGATTTTACCTGTGTTATGTGCTTGGAAAGGCAGTAGGAGATTAGTAGTGAGCAGGCCCGGACTGGCCATCGGGCACACCGGGCAAATGCCCGGTGGGCCGCGGTGGCCGTGGGGCCGAGGCCGGCAGGGAGATCACAGGATCTCTCCTGCCGGTCTTTGCAGGGCCGGCGCTATCTGAACGCCGGCCCTGCAGTAGTCCATGGAGGGCCGGTGGGGAGATCAGAGATCTCCCCACCGGCCCACATGCAGGATAGTGCGGCCGCCGGGGGAGAGAGGGAGGGAACCAGCCTGCCAGGAGAGGAACCCAGCGGAGCTTTAACTAACAGCTCCGCCGGGTTCCTCTCGCGAGATTCGGAGCGTTGCCATGGCAACGCTCCGGGTCTCGCGAGAGTGAACTCTAGCCTTACAGGCTAGAGTTCACTCACCACTAAGACCACCAGGGATGGATGGCAGCCCCAGCAGCAGGATCCCCCTCCCAGGCTAAAGGTAAGCAGGGAGGGGGGAAATAATCACCTAACTAACATCAGCCTCACAGACACCCCTAACACTCACAGCACCCTCATTCACACACACACACTGCACCCCTGACACTCACACACACACACACTGCACCAATGACACTCACACACACACACACTGCACCAATGACACTCACACACACACACTGCACCCCTGACACTCACACACACACACACTGCACCCCTGACACTCACAGCACACACACACACACACTGCACCCCTGACACTCACAGCACACTTTTACACTGCACCTGACACTCACAGCACACTCACTCGCACACACTGCACCCCTGACACAGCATCTCACTCACACACACTGCACCCCTGACACTCACGGCACCCTCACTCACACACACTGCACCCCTGACACTCACAGCACCCTCACTCACACACACACACTGCACCCTGACACTCACAGCACACACACACACACTTCACTCCTGACACTCACAGCACCCTCACACACACTTCACTCCTGACACTCACAGCACCCTCACTTACACACGGCACCCTGGCCTCACAAAAGCACACACACACACACACTGCACCAATGACACTCACACACACACACACACACAAACTACCCCTGAGCACTCACACACACACGCACTTGACACTCACACACACACACACACACACACACTGCACCCCTGACACTCACAGCACACACACACACACACTGCACCTGACACTCACAGCACACACACACACTGCACCCCTAACACTCACAGCACACACACACACTGCACGCTGACCTCACAACACACACACACACACTGCACCCCTGACCTCACAGCACACACACACACACACACTGCACCCCTGACACTCCCGCAGCACACACACACACACTGCACTGCTGACACTCACAGCACACACACACTGCACCCCTGACACTCAGCACACACACACAAACACACACACTGCACCGCTGACACTCACAGCACACACACACACACTGCACCACTGACACTCACAGCACACTCACACACACACTGCACCCCTGACACTCACAGCAGACACACACTGCACCCCTGACACTCACAGCACACACACACACACACACTGCACAGCTGACACTCACAACATACTCACACACACTGCACCCCGAGCCTCAGCACACACACACACACACACTGCACCCCTGACACTCACAGCACACACACACACCTGCACCCTGGCCTCCCAGCACCCTCACTCACACACACGCACCCCTGAGACTCACAGCGCACACACACTGCACGCTGACACTGCAGCACCCACACACACACTGCACCCCTGACATGCACAGCACCCTCACTCACACACACTACACCCCTGACACAGCACACACACACACACTCACATCACCCTCACTCACACACACACACTGCACACCTAACACTTACAGAACCCTCACACACACACACTGCACCCCTGAGACTCACAGCACACACACACTGCACCGCTGACACTCACAGCACACACACACACACACACACTGCACCCCTGACATGAACAGCACCCTCACTCACACACACTGCACCCCTGACACAGCACACACACACACACACACTCACATCACCCTCACACACACACACACAGACACTGCACCCCTAACACTTACAGCACCCACACACTGCACCCCTGACATGCACAGCACACACCCTATCTGGCCCCGCCCCCTTTGTAGTGGGCCGCTGTAATTAAAAAATGCCCGGGCCGAATTATCTTCCCAGTCCGGCCCTGGTAGTGAGCTTAATCCTGGGCTGAAGTCATGGTGTAGGAAGGAGGGTGTAGGTTTTTTAGAGCAGTGAGCTCATTTTGTGCATGGGTATATACCATTGGGGAACAAATATAAAATAAACAAATTGAAACCAATGTGTCTTAATAGAAAGGTAAGCCAAGAATGTAAAAATAAGAAAATGGAAGTTAATGGATTTAAATCAGATAAATCCTTATAAAATATAAGGAAGCCAATAATGCCTGTAGGCGATTTGATGGGATAAACTAGAATGAGATAAACTAGAATATGAAAAAGTGATAGCCAAAGAGAGCAAGACCAGCTCCAAAAAGTTTATATATTGTTTTAAGTACATAAATTCAATAATATCAGAGATGGGTGTGTTAGTAAATGTAAAGAAAAGTAAAGATCAAGAAAAAGCATTTTAAATTATTATTTTATTCTGTATATATCAAGGAGGAACCTATTGAAAAAGTTATGCAAATAATTACTGGGGGAAAAAATACAGACAAGTTATGGTTGGATAACTTAAAACAAGGTGCTGCAGCAAATAAAGTTAATTTAAACAAAGCCTCAAGGTCTGATGTTATTCACACAAGTACTTAAGGAGCTCAGTTAGGATTCTTTTCTTTCAGAAATTGTACCGGAGGATTGGAGAAAGGCAAGCTTGGCTTCTATATTCAACAAGGGTTCAAAATTATAGACCAGTGACCTTAACATCTGTGGCTGGGAAAGTATTTAAAGGGATAGTATTCAGGAATTCATTGGGAATAAATGTAATTAGCAGAAATCGGCATGGTTTCATGTCAAACTAATGCAATTGCATTCTACAAAGATGTCTGTAAAATTATAGATCAGGGTATTGCAGTTGGTGTGAGATATTTGGCGTTCAAAAATGTTCCACACGTTTGGGCGGCGCCTGACTTCCGGTGCGGATAAAGGCACTTGGCTGGAGCTCCGCAACATCGGGCAAAAAAACAGCGCACAAAAAGCATACTTTGCCAAATCTACTCACCGCAACCTGCCCTGCCAGATCCCCCAAGCACACACCGCCGCAAAACATGGGGAGAAAGTTGAGACACAGATCAGCGGTGGCTTCGATATTCCACAGCCACTCGGACAAAGGCGCACCTCGTGCAGATCAGCCGCCAAAGTCCGACTCTGATGGGAGACGGGAAGAAGAAGCCAGGACCAAGCCCCGGTGAACAAGGGGGACCTAAAAGAGCTCCTTCGTGACATTAAACTCAATATGGCAGCTGAACTGGCAAAACACCTAGCCCCCATCAGGGAAGACCTAGAGGATCTCACCAGGCGCAACTTAACAGTGGAAGACCGGATGGAGGACATCTCTACAACTACCTCTAACCATGACAGGGCCCTGCAAGAGCTCAGAGAGCAGGTACGAGCCCTGGAAGCTCACAGGAAGACCTGAATAAAAGATCACGCCGAAACAACATAAGGATCAGGGGGCTGCCAGAAACCATCAATGCAGACATGCTCCACTCAGCACTCCAGGAAACCTTCTGCGGCCTGAAGCTCCACCAGCAGAGTTAATGCTGGACAGAGCTCACAGGGCCCACATGCACTACTTTCATGTGAAGGAAGCACTGATGAGGGCCATAAGAGACACTCCTTTGCAAATAGAAGGACATCAGGTCCAATTCTTCCAGGACCTGGCCCCCAGCACTCTACATAAACAAAGGAAACTCCGACCCCTAACCCAGGCCCTCACTCAGCAGAGGCTCTGTGTACGGCCATCCCTTCAAATTAATGGTCTGCTGAGAAGACTGAACATATGTCCTACATGATATCTCCTAGGCCCAGGAATTTGCGAACCAGTTGGGCCTACCACCCATCGACATGGAGCCCTGTCCTCGCCCACATGGCTCCCATGAGACTAGAAACAATCTGCCAGCCATGCCACGATTGCGGAGACCATCCAGACGTGAGCCACAACACCCATAAAGATTCGAACAGAGACTTTTCACCACGGGCTACTCACCTCCATAAGTGAACTATAGCGGTCAGACAGCCTCTCCTCACCACCAATCCTTGACAGTGCTCACCTACCTGATGGACTGGGTGGCGATTGATTGATGGACTGACCCCAATACCAGAGACAATGACACCGGCCATGACACAGAGATAAGATCAAGAATATGTTTCTCACTGTTTGTCCTATGTCCACCTCTATCCCAACTCTCCTACCTCCTTATTGTTTGCCTGGTTCCTGATATGCACAATGGCACCTAGGAGTCTATTTAAGTTTCAGCCTCCCTCCTTAGCGGGCCTAGTACTCCATTTCCCCCATTCTCTTCATCGGCACTGATGGAGGGACAGGATTAGGTGGAGACCCCCATCACCCAATATACCACTTAAGTCTACTGCAAACTTAGGGGAGACCCCTGCCACTCCTGGCATCGCACAACTACGTTGGGCAGCACAAACCCCTCACTCACACACAAATATGAATGCCACGACGCGCCCCACACTCTATGTGCCTTTACATCCTCTCTAATCCGGCTGGCCCGGATCGTGGAGCCCTGTGGCCTTGCCCTCTCCCTCTACCTCTCCCCCCACCCCCTTTTGGTTTGTGTTTTTTTTCCTCTCTTCCCCTCTTCACTCACCAACTACAAACTCAGCAGCACCACATACCACTAGCTACAATGGCAATACAAATCAAATGCACCTCAATTAACGCTAAAGGCCTCAACACACCCAAGAAGAGACCAATGCTACTTAGGTGGGCACACAGACAGCACACAGACAACCTTATGGTACAAGAAACACATTTCACAACCCACAAACACTTTCCATTCACCAACCGCTACTATAAACACAGTTATCTGGCTAATTCATTTCATAGTAATACATTTCCTTAATGTCCATGTCCACAACCTGACCCGGCCCTGGTCCTGGAAACGTAACCCTTTCCTGTTACACGACATTGAAATAACTGAGACACTCTCTAAAGACCTTGCAGAAAACTTTGAGCTGAACGCCCCCACAATGACATCCCAATAACCCTCTGTGTGGCCCATAAGGTGGTGATTCGCGGAAAGTTAATAAGCATGGCGACCGCCAGAAAGAAACGGCGGATCCAATAGATTACGGATACCACAGTGGAAATCTACTGCATAGAAACCCAGCATAAACAAGACCCACGACCCTCCCTCTTCACCCAATTAACAGAGACCTCCTAAAGCGCCTAACTTTTTGAAGAGACTTTCAAGGCCCTCATTTGGCTCAAACAGAAGTACTATGAAAAGAGACCTCCAGAGATCTCCTAAAGCTCGTAACTTTTGAAGACACTTCAAAGCTCCAGAATGTGGACTTAAAACTCCTTACTAAAGTAATGGCCAACAGAATCAACCCACTACTAGATTCCTTGGTACACCCAGACCAAGTAGGGTTTATTCCCAATAGACAGGCAGCGGATAGCACTAGAAGGGCTATAGACCTCATTTGGTTTGCACGCCACAGACACATCGCTACAGCGGTCATATCTCTGGACGCCGAGAAGGCATTCTGGCCCTTTCTATTCCACACTCACACACTTCAGATTCCCATCCAAATTCCTACTTTTCCTAGAGGCGACCCACCACCTTGTAGCAGACCACGGGTAACTCGACTGGTTACCTCTACTAATTCCCTTCTTTCAGCCGGTCAGGAACCATGTAAAGTACAAATAGACCCATTTCCCCCAGTAACTGGACGACACACAGTGCAGGGGGTTTCCCACACAAACAGACACGGCCACGTCCCAAGATCCTCGCCCTCCCTGGGACCCTAGCGTGTCCCCAAAGCCCATCATTGAACACAGGGTTTCCCACACTAGCTGCCAGGGGGTCCTCTTCCCAAGAGGCACAGAAAAGTCTGCCTGCGGGAAAAGAGCTAGTCTCTTTGTCCCTGCAGGCATCGACAAGCCCGCCAAACTAGCCAGTGCCCCATGAGTGTCCCCACCAACCTCAGGTAACCTTCCTCGACCAGGTTCCGCTTGCGAGGTCAACTGTGTGAAACCCAGCAAGGGAAGCGTGTTCTTTCGGGATACGAATGCTCCCCATGGATGGAGTTCGTCTATATGAAATGGCGGCCACCCAGGGAAGCACTCATTAATTACTTCCCTTGAGGTTTCACACTTATGTTGCGAGTGCGAACGTTCTGACTAATTGGGGTGAACGTTCCAATGGGGCACCAGGGAGGTCCTCGTTCGAGAGATGAACAAGTCGGGAAACAATCCATGAAAGCATCCCCTGGTGGTGTTCGTCTGTACGAATGGCGGCCACCCAGGGAAGCACTCATTAACAGTTTCCCTTTGCAGTTTGCGGTTTGACACCTTTGCAGCGAGGTGTGAACGTTGTAATGTAACATTCTAAATGAGGTATCGGGGTGTCCCCGTTTGGGAGGTGAATGGATTCCCTTTGTGGAAGACCTCCCGAACGGGAAGCGGGCAAAATACATGAAAGAACGAGAAAAACATACATAAAATATAAAAGGCGGTGAGAGCACTCTAAAGCATGCAATTAAGATTATTACCAGATTGATCTTGAGTTCAACTCTAAAAACAACAAGATAAAAGAAACATAGAGTAGTATTGCCAGATTACAAATATTGTTAGTAAAATACTGGAAAAACTCACATGTTACTGAGTCACTTAAAAAGCTGACTCAGACTAAAAGCTTGTAGTGGAGATGAATATTCCTTTAGACTGGACGTCCTTTGGATAAATTTCTTCTGGATATTAATATAATAATTATTCCAGGATACAGTTCCAAAGTAAAACTAATTTATTGATTAAAACAAAAGTTTTAAAATCAAACATAAAATAAAATTGTCCATATGCAGTTACCACGACGCGTTTCGGCAAGATAGCCTTTCTCAAGTGGTTTGTGTTCATCTCCATGATTGCAGCTTTTAAATTCAAAAGTTTGGCGCCCTTTCTCACTGTTTCCGGTTCTCTTTACTTCCGTTTTCGTCATCGGTAATCGTCCGACGTGTCCCACACGTCATGGCGTCATCTTTCGTCGTCCGGCGTGTCCCACACGTCATGACGTCATTCCGGCACCCCGGACCGGAAGTGTTGCGGGCGCCATTTTTAAAAGTCCTTTTCCTACTTATTTTGCCCAGTCTCTCTCAAGTGACGAGCAATTGAAGCATAAAAAAGTTATATACATAAAATTTTGATATAAACCTTCTCCAAAAAAGGGGGAAACATATATATTATTAAACAAGAGGAAATATCATATACAATATATGCAAGTTAAGATCCAAACAGATGTGTAATAAAATAAATATTAAAATAACAATAGTTATAATAATAATAACTTTAAATAATTAAAATGTATTTATATATAGGAATTGACCTCAAAATCTATATTTAGACCACATGGGGATAAAGTTTGCATGTTAAAAATCCATTTCATTTCGGTTTTGTTCAGGAGATTTTCTATGTCTCCTCCCCTCCAATGTGTTTTGACCCCTTCTATACCCATAAAGTCAAAGCCTTGTATGTTACCCCCATGTACTTCTAAAAAGTGTTTAGACACATTATGTAGAATATATTTTCTATTAATATTATAAATATGTTCTCTAATTCTTATTTTTAGTGGTCTAGATGTTCTACCTATATATTGATATCCACATGGACAGGTGATCATATAAATTATATTTTTAGAGTTGCAGGTTAAAAAAGATTTGATATCATACGATCTTTTATTAAAAAAAGGAATCAAATTTAGTAACAGTTTTATTTTTATGTTTTCTTAAAGTGCACCCTCTACATGACCCACAATAATAAAAGCCATGGTCCCTTTTAAACATAGTTAAAAGTTGAGGATTTTTTTCTTTCTCTAAAAAACTTGAAGTTAAAACCTGTTTAAAATTCTTTGCTCCTCTAAAAATGACTTTGGGTTTAGTTCCTATATATTGTTGTACATCTTGATCCTGCTCCAAAATGTGCCAGTTCTTCCTGATTATTTTTTGTAATTCATTACTGTTTGAGCTATAATTAAAAATAATAGGTATAGTAAGATCATCATCCCTTAATTCTTTTGTTTTAGATTTTAAAATGTTTTCCCTAGATTCTTGTCCTACTCCTACTTTTAATCTTTTTAATTCATCATAGTTATACCCCTTTTCCACTAGTTGATTAATTAAAATCTGAGTTTGTTCATCATATTGTTGGGTTTCTTTACAGTTTCGCTTGATCCTTAAAAATTGTCCCTTAGGTATATTCGTTAACCAGGGTTTAAAATGGCAACTTTTCAAATTAATAAAACTATTTACATCTACTAATTTAAAAAAAGTTTTACTTTTAATTTGGTTGTCTTCCACATAAATATTCAAATCTAAAAAATTAACTTGTTGAGAACTGATTTCGTATGTTAGATGGATGTTCCAACTGTTTGAATTAAGACCATTTAAAAAACTTAAAAGGGACTCTTTTGTTCCTCGCCATATAATAAAAATATCATCTATGTATCTTTTGTACAAGACCAGATTTGCCCCAAATTCTGATTTAGAAAAAATCTCCAATTCCTCCCAATGTGCCATAAATAAATTAGCATAGCTTGGGGCAAATCTGGTCCCCATAGCCGTTCCCTTTGTTTGTAAATAAAAATTATTCTCAAACCAGAAGAAATTGTTGGAGAGGATTATTTGTATCCCTTTTATAATAAAATCTATTTGCTGTGAATTTAATTGAGTCTCTTTAGTTAAAAAATGTCTAGCAGCCTCACATCCTATTGTGTGTTCTATAATAGTATAGAGGCTACTGACATCACAAGTGGCCATAATTAGTCCATCCTCCCATTTTAAATCTCTTAAAATCTGTAAAAGTGACATAGTGTCCTTAAGAGGGACATTTTTTAACTGGATCTTGTAAAAAATAATCTAAAAACTGGGACAGAGGAGATAAAAGGGAGCCAATTCCAGAGACTATTGGTCGTCCTGGAGGATTTTTTATGTCCTTATGAATTTTTGGTAAGACATATAGGACGGGAATTCTAGGAAATTTTACATTAAGAAAGTCGTATTCTTTTTTATTTAATATCTCTAATGCTAATCCATGATCTAAAAATGATTTTAATTTCTTTTTTATTTCTTCTAAGGGGTTTTTTGGTAATAGTAAATAGGTTTCTTGATCTTTTAATTGTTCAAAAATCACTTCAAGATACTTCTCTTTTTGCCATATCACTACCCCTCCCCCCCCCCCTTATCGGCTGGTTTAATAACAATACTGGAATCTTTTTTCAAGTCTTGTAATGCTTTTCTTTAAAGTTTTGTTAGGTTTTTTTGTCTTTCTTTTATAGGTTTTATTTCTCTGAGCTCTTTAATACAGATTTTTTCAAATACCTTTATTGCATCTGACTTTAAATAGCTTGGAAAAAAATTCGATTTATTTTTGAAAGTAGTATGTTTAAAACTTTCATCATTATTCTCTTCTATTGTATTAAGGGACTTTTGATTAAAAAACTTTTTTAAACATAATTTGCGCGTAAATCTATTAATGTCCAAAAATGTCTCAAATTTGTCAATGTCACAACTAGGAGCAAATTTAAAACCATTATTTAAAACCTTTATATGGCCATCATTTAAAATTTTATCCGAAAGGTTGAAGATTCTTATGTCCGTTGGGGTCTTTTTGCTAAATCCTCCCTCCTCCTCTTCTCCTCTTTTTTGTTTTCTATTCCCTCTTCTTGTCTTCCCCTTTTTATTGGGGTTTGTGTTTTTAGATTCCCTTTCATTCTGCTCATCGTCTGGCCTAAAAAAAGATCCTCCTCATTTAAATGTTGTAGATGACTATATCTGTTTGAAACAGTTATGGATTTTTCTTGTTTCCTAGGGGGAGAATATTTAGAGTTTCGGTCATAATTGATCCTATTAAAATTATTTTTGTCATAATTATTACCTCTAAAGGGATTTCTCCTTTCTCCTGTTCTAGATTTTACTTGAAATCAGTTCTCAACAAGTTAATTTTTTAGATTTGAATATTTATGTGGAAGACAACCAAATTAAAAGTAAAACTTTTTTTAAATTAGTAGATGTAAATAGTTTTATTAATTTGAAAAGTTGCCATTTTAAACCCTGGTTAACGAATATACCTAAGGGACAATTTTTAAGGATCAAGCGAAACTGTACAGAAACCCAACAATATGATGAACAAACTCAGATTTTAATTAATCAACTAGTGGAAAAGGGGTATAACTATGATGAATTAAAAAGATTAAAAGAAGGAGTAGGACAAGAATCTAGGGAAAACATTTTAAAATCTAAAACAAAAGAATTAAGGGATGATGATCTTACTATACCTATTATTTTTAATTATAGCTCAAACAGTAATGAATTACAAAAAATAATCAGGAAGAACTGGCACATTTTGGAGCAGGATCAAGATGTACAACAATATATAGGAACTAAACCCAAAGTCATTTTTAGAGGAGCAAAGAATTTTAAACAGGTTTTAACTTCAAGTTTTTTAGAGAAAGAAAAAAATCCTCAACTTTTAACTATGTTTAAAAGGGACCATGGCTTTTATTATTGTGGGTCATGTAGAGGGTGCACTTTAAGAAAACATAAAAATAAAACTGTTACTAAATTTGATTCTTTTTTTAATAAAAGATCGTATGATATCAAATCTTTTTTAACCTGCAACTCTAAAAATATAATTTATATGATCACCTGTCCATGTGGATATCAATATATAGGTAGAACATCTAGACCACTAAAAATAAGAATTAGAGAACATATTTATAATATTAATAGAAAATATATTCTACATAATGTGTCTAAACACTTTTTAGAAGTACATGGGGGTAACATACAAGGCTTTGACTTTATGGGTATAGAAGGGGTCAAAACACATTGGAGGGGAGGAGACATAGAAAATCTCCTGAACAAAACCGAAATGAAATGGATTTTTAACATGCAAACTTTATCCCCATGTGGTCTAAATATAGATTTTGAGGTCAATTCCTATATATAAATACATTTTAATTATTTAAAGTTATTATTATTATAACTATTGTTATTTTAATATTTATTTTATTACACATCTGTTTGGATCTTAACTTGCATATATTGTATATGATATTTCCTCTTGTTTAATAATATATATGTTTCCCCCTTTTTTGGAGAAGGTTTATATCAAAATTTTATATATATAACTTTTTTATGCTTCAATTGCTCGTCACTTGAGAGAGACTGGGCAAAATAAGTAGGAAAAGGACTTTTAAAAATGGCGCCCGCAACACTTCCGGTCCGGGGTGCCGGAATGACGTCATGACGTGTGGGACACGCCGGACGACGAAAGATGACGCCATGACGTGTGGGACACGTCGGACGATTACCGATGACGAAAACGGAAGTAAAGAGAACCGGAAACAGTGAGAAAGGGCGCCAAACTTTTGAATTTAAAAGCTGCAATCATGGAGATGAACACAAACCACTTGAGAAAGGCTATCTTGCCGAAACGCGTCGTGGTAACTGCATATGGACAATTTTATTTTATGTTTGATTTTAAAACTTTTGTTTTAATCAATAAATTAGTTTTACTTTGGAACTGTATCCTGGAATAATTATTATATTAATATCCAGAAGAAATTTATCCAAAGGACGTCCAGTCTAAAGGAATATTCATCTCCACTACAAGCTTTTAGTCTGAGTCAGCTTTTTAAGTGACTCAGTAACATGTGAGTTTTTCCAGTATTTTACTAACAATATTTGTAATCTGGCAATACTACTCTATGTTTCTTTTATCTTGTTGTTTTTAGAGTTGAACTCAAGATCAATCTGGTAATAATCTTAATTGCATGCTTTAGAGTGCTCTCACCGCCTTTTATATTTTATGTACACTTTATTTGTGTGGTTGAGTGATTCACACTAGGTGATAGTAGCACCACTTTGTACTGTTTTTTTCCCAAAATCCCTATATCTATGGGAAAAACATACACATTATAAAGAAAGGGAAATAACGGACAGGCAGTGGTTACGCCACACACCTGTTGCAGGGAGCACTGCTCCTACTCAACATCACTTTCCCTAGATTTGCCATCTCCAACAGGACGAGACAGGAATGCCCACTCACCCCCCTCTAGTTTGCTCTCTCCCTGGAACCTCTCCTGTAGGTGATATGGTCCAGCCCAGGAGTGGAGGGGATCAGAGGACTACCCTTCAAAGTCTCCGCAAATGCAGAGACAGTCCTCCTCACTTTGACAAACCCGGCAACCTCTATTGACAATTTACTACAACTGATCCATTCCTACTCCATAATCTCAGGTTATAAACTCAACTTGGCGAAATCCGAACTCCTCCCGATCCACATAACGTCAAGCCAAGTTGCCACTGCTCATTTGTAAATCTGCCATGACCTACCTGGGCATACGACTCACCACTGATGTAGTGTCCCTATATCAAACAAATTATGTACCTATGCTGGAAAAAGCGTTCACAGATCTTAAATGGGAAACATTGGGGATCTCATGGATGGTCCATGTCGTCTCCGTCAAGATGAATCTCCTCCCCCGATTTCTATATGTCTTCCAGGCCCTCCTTGTCCCATTCCACAAATTGGACCTTACCACTTTACAATCGGCTATAAACAAATTCATATGGAATGGTTCCGCCCGTAAACACTATACGTGCCTAAAAAATCATGAGGCCTGGACCTCCCCAACCTCCTACACTATTTATATGCAGCCCATCTAGCCCAAATACAGATGTGGCACTTTCAAAGAAAAGATGGGTGGACAATGAACATTCAGTTTTTGTTATACCAAGGCAATTATGGACTCCGCATCTCTATCTACATATGATTATTTCAGATACATGCAACTCTGCAGCTTCGCTGCATCACCTAGCATCCAACAGAGGCAGGCAAAGCCCACCTTACTAGCTTCGAAAGGGACTGCGTGGCAGCCCCAACCAGGAAAGGCCAAATATCCGATCTCTACCTTCAAATTACAACACATTCAAAACAAATAACTCTACCATGCATAGCAGCTTGGGAAACAGACATGATGCTTTGGACTGGTCGGAAAGATGGGAGGCAATGTCCTATCTTACAATCTGTGTAACCCATAAGGAGCAAGCATATAAAATGCTTTTCCACTAGTACTTAACACCCCAAAGACTGGCCATCATGCATTGCTTACCTACAAACCTATGCTGGAAACTATGCGGGGAAGTGGGGACATTCTACCATTGCTGGTGGACCTGCCATAAACTAAAACCTACCTGGCACTCCATCACATCCCTCCTCACTAGAATTCTGACCAAACCCTGCCCAATGGATCCTTAGGCCCTACTATTATCTAAACCACTAAAAACCCACACAAGGGCTGAAAACAAATTGATCGCTTGAGTAGCTCTTGCCACACGCAGGGCAATCGGAGAGGTATGGTCGACCACAGGACTACCCACACAGAAGGCGATAGCCAGGAAAATACAAGATAGCATAGACACGGACAGACTCACAGCACATATAAACAAGACGCCTCAAACCTTCCACAAAGTATGGGACCCCTGGCTGGAATGGAACATGTCTCTTCCATGGTAGTAAATCTCTAAGTACCCCACAGAGGCCCCGACAGGACCAGTCGCACCCAGGCTCTGCCTTCTATTGACCTAAAAGTACCAAATGACTCCCCCAACTCCCCAACTAACCTGAGGGGGAGGACGTGGGGCTCGGTAGCAAGGCTAGCTCACTCGTCCTTCCATTCCCTCCACCACAAGATATTACTTTGCTGCAGAGGGATTTAGATAGACTGGGGGACTGGGCACTCAAATGGCAGATGAAATTTAATGTTGAAAAATGCAAAGTTATGCACTTCGGCGTAAAGAATACACAAGCAACGTATACCCTTAATGGAAGCGAAATAGGGATAACAACACATGAAAAGGACTTGGGAATTGTTATAGACAACAAACTATGCAACAATGTGCAATGTCAATCAGCAGTAGCCAAGGCCAGTAAGGTATTGTCATGCATGAAAAAGGGCATTCATTCTCGGGACAAGAATATAATTTTGCCTCTTTATAAATCACTGGTAAGTCCCCATATTGAATATGCTGTGCAATTTTGGGCACCTGTTCTAAAGAAGGATATTATGGCACTAGAAAAAGTGCAGAGGCGGGCTACAAAACTAATAAAAGGAATGGAACATATTGGCTATGAAGAAAGGTTAACAAATTTAAACCTATTTAGTTTAGAAAAGCGTCGCCTGAGAGGGGATGTGATAACATTATACAAATATATTCGGGGCCAATACAAACCATTGTGTGGAAATCTATTCACAAACCGGACTTTACATAGGACACGAGGCCATGCGTTTAGACTGGAAGAAAGAAGTTTTCGCCTAAGGCAAAGGAAAGGTTTTTTTACTGTAAGAACAATCAGGATGTGGAATTCTCTGCCTGAGGAAGTGGTTTTATCAGAGTCCATACAGATGTTCAAGCGGCTACTAGATGCATACTTGCAAGAACAGAATATTCAAGGATATAATCTTTCAATGTAGGGTAATAACTGCTTGATCCAAGGATAAATCTGACTGCCATTCTAGGGTCAAGAAGGAATTTTTTTCCTAGCTTGTTGCAAAATTGTGCTTCAAACTGGGTTTTTTTGCCTTCTTTTGGATCAACAGCAAAAAACAAATGTGAGGTAGGCTGAACTTGATGGACGCAAGTCTCTTTTCAGCTATGTAACTATGTAACTATGTGTGTCTGACTGTTTGTGAGTGTGTGTATTTAGAAGGTGGGGTGGGGGGGAAGGGTTGGGTGGGGGTGGCGCGGGGGGAGGGGGGTGCCTGAGTTTTGTCCTGCCTAGGGCAGCACAAAACCAGGATACACCACTGGGTACACACAGAGACATAAAGATATACAGATTCAAACACTACATACATTCTGAAACCCAAAACACACATACACATACCTCTTGAGTGGCATTTGCTGGCTGTGCTTGTTGGGAGTTGAGGGAGAAGATTTCCTTTCCTGGTCCGGTCAGCCCCCCTTCGCGGCCTCCTCCTGCGCGGCTCTATGTGTTACAGCTGGGAGGAAGTGTGCGCCTAGCTCTCACTTCCTCCCAGCATCCCGGGCATGTTAGAAGGGGCCCGGTTGCGCTATTAAAGCGCACGACCGGGCCCCTCATAGCACATATCCATTGGGTGGCCCTGAGTGCATGGGCCACCCAATGGACCCGCTCACCATGCGGTCCCCAGCCAGTGTGTGGCGGTAGCACCGCTGCCATTACCGGGATTTTTATGCGTACCCCCTGAATTGTACCCCTGGCCCTGGGGGTATGCGTACCATGGGTTGGGAACCACTGCATTAGTCTACAAAGGGGTCACAAGCCTCTTAAACCTGCTTTCAGTCCCTTGGACTCTATTCAACCCATTTGGTATTAGAGGCATCTCAGGCACCCTACCCCGCGTGTAGATATAGAACACCTATCTGGCGACCCTTCGGCAGGAGCTGCATACTAGTCTGGTTATACTTCCAGTATTAGTAACGCAATATACTAAAAAATGTGCTATGTTATTGATGCCAACAATTGTTAACCTATATTGAAAGAACAACTTGCACTAGCTGTTGTGGCACTGCAAGCCTATCTGAAACCACGGAGCAACGCAGGGAGGAGTGGGCCTTGACGGAGCCAGGAGTAGGCAGGTGAAGTGTAGGTCAAGGGGCTGACCTATGGTAATGCAGGGGGAGGGGGTAGGAGGGGAAGTTACATAGTGGCCATTTTAAGGTATGGCCATTTTAACTTGAGCCTTACTTACCTGTAAATTGTGCAGGTCGGCAGGGCTGTTCTTTTCTTCTTTTTCAGGTGCAGCATGGCATCCCTGGAGGAGATCTTGTCGGGTGTGCGGTCGGTGGTGAGGGAGAGGGGTATGGCGTGGCTGCAGGAGCAGCTGGGGGTCCCGAGCACATCTGCTCTCCCCCCATGCGTTGCCGAACTGGAGGCCAGAGAGAAGAACAAGGCCGCCTCGGGCGGCTTAGCCCGGGAGCAGGCCCAGCAGCACGACGGAGGAGGAGTTCGGCGGCAGGCAGTCCACAGATGCAGGAGATGGCGGCCAGAAAGCGAGGAGGAACAGATTGTCGGCCGGGGCAGCCTGTCAGGCACAGCGCCGGGGTAGTGAGGTCAAGGCCAGAAAGAGGCCGCCATCGATGAGCGCCCCCTGCAGGATGGCGGTGGGCGGGCAGGCGACTAAGACCACCGGTGCCAGATTGGAGAGGGAGGAGAGGACAGCAGCAGCAGAGCCCAGGAGCAGCTCAAGTTGTTCCGGTGAGTCGCCCCCTGGGGGCAGCACTGAGAGGCAGGGGGAGAGAGAAGTGCAGGCAGCAGCAAGACTGCGGTCTCACAGGACAGGGAAGGGGACCAGGACAGCAGGGCACAGCAGGAGGCAGCCGACGTTAGACACAGGACAGAAGGTGCTGAGGACGAGAGGGAACAGAGGAGGGATAGTGTGGCCAGGATCATAGGAGGAGTGAGAGAAGGGAACAGCGCCAGGTTTACTGGGGACATGAGAGAAGGGAAAAGCGGCAGTCGGGAGCGGAGTGAAGGCAGTCAATCGGGAGAGAAGGAAGGGAGGAAGACGGGAACAGAAAGCACTGGGCGGCAGGTAACATGCCAGGAAGAATGAGGATTTCGGGACAGTGGTGAGCGGGAGGCCATCAGGGGTCGCTCCCAGGAGAAACGGGATAGGAGGAGCGCCAGCAGAAGTGAAGACAGGGGAACATAGCGTGGAGGGGCGAACTGGCAAGGCAGCAGGAAGGAATCCGAATGCAGTGGGAGGAACGGGGACAGGAGCCCAGCGGGGAGCCGGAGCAGTAGGAGAAGGTCCAATTCCAAGGACAGGTGGCTGAGGCTGAGGCGCAGTAGGTCAGGGTCGTCAGAGAGGAACTACGCTGCTTAGAGGAGGAGAGGAAGCGAGCGGGATGAACGAACAAGGCATAGGTGCGGGAGTTGGGGTGACAGGTCAGAGCGCAGGGACGAAGGGCGGGTGAGGCTGCAGTCGAACAGACCACCCAGGCTGTATTCTCCTTGCAGGTCGATGAGTAGGACACCCACAAGATCAAAACATGAACAGGCGGTCAGGAGTCGGCGTCCCCTGGTTACTTCTGAGCCAGTCGATGCGAAAGAAAGGATGGTGCCCCCGCAGCCAGCAGCGGCCGGGGACCTAAGCGGTGAGTCACCAACTGCACCACACTCGGGGAGTCTACTAGGGTGTTTAAGATCACTATTAGAATCATGGTCAGGGACGGGGGGTCGCCACCACAGTTCGAGAGAGTTGGGCTGCGGAAGGCAGTCGGGAGGCAGGGGTTAGGCCCGCAGTGGCGGCAGCGACCAAAGTGGGTGAGGGTGCCGCAGAACCGGGTCTAGGAGCGACGGAAGGCGCAGGTGAGCATGTAGGTCGATGCGGGGAAGTATCGGATGCAGCGCGGCAAAACGTGCATGTTTCTTTTGCGGGACCGCTGGGGTGTCACTTAAAGGCGGAGGTTAAGGATAAAATATGGAAAGGGGACTTTGTGGAAATATTTTCACTACTTCCCCTGGAAGAGTTTTTAGATTTGAAAGAGGAGCATAAGAAGTATGCAAAGAAGGAGGAAGTGGAAAAAAGGCGAAGGTATCGGAAGATACCCAAGACTTTTGGGAACTGGTTGAGGGCCTTTTGTATCTTAGCGAGCGTAATCTGGGAAAAGTGCCCAGATCGCTGTTCGCAGCTCTTTTGTTATCTAGGCGGGATAGGGGACGCCTATCGGACCTACAGGGGACTAGCATGGTGGAAATATGACGAACAATTTCATCAATGGTTAGCCGAAAACCAATCAATGTGGATGAGGCTGATGATGGCACAAAAGAGTGCCCCCTTTCTCGGAGCGACCGGTGCGGGCTCAAGCGGGACCGTGTCGGCAGGTCAGAAGAAAGTTTTCTGCTGGCTCTATAATGAGGGCCAATGCAAGTGCGGTGCATCATGTAGATTCAAGCACGAGTGCTCCGGCTGCGGGGGTAATCACAGAGTCTCAAGATACTTTAAGAAAGGCAAGCCGAACATGGGGAGGGGGGCCACCGGCTCAACAGCCACCACAACTGCAGCTGGGGGTGTCACCGGTGAAGGTAGGCACGATGCTGCCTTGGTTAAAACTATACGCTAACCAAGAGGTGGCAAGGTTCTTATGGCTAGGCTTTACGGAGGGTTTCGTGATTCCGTTTCAAGACAAGGGTCTGGGTGAGTTATGTGAAAATCTTCGGTCGGTGTGGGAGCATCCAGGGGTAGCTAGAGAAAAGTTATGCAAGGAAGTGCAATTGGGGAGGATGGCGAGGCCATTCGCTTCCCCACCATTAGTAGGTTTCCGATTGTCTCCACTTGGGGTGGTCCCCAAGAAGGAGGTTGGTAAATTCCGTATGATACATCATTTATCGTACCCAAAGGGGGCATCGGTAAATGATGATATCGACGAGGCTCTGTGTTTTGTTTCCTACTCATTATTTGACAAGGCTGTCAAGTTGGTAAGGAAAGCAGGGCATGGGGCACTGATGGCGAAAGTGGATGTGAAAGTTACGTTCAGGCTGCTTCCCATACACCCGGATTGTCATCACCTACTGGGGTGTTATTTCGAAGGGGGGTATTTCGTGGACTTGTGCCTACCTATGGGATGCACCATCTCATACGTTTACTTCTAGAGATTTAGCACCTTTTTGGAGTGGGTGGTGCGGCGGGAATTGGCAGGGGGTGCAGTGGTGCACTACTGTGACGATTTTTTATGCGTCGGCCCGCCAGGAACAGAGCACTATAGCCAAATATTGCAGGTCTTTCAGTGGGTGGCGCATACGTTCGGGGTGCCGTTAGCAGAGGACAAAACGGTGGGGCCCACTACGTGCCTCAGCTTTCTGGGGTTGGAGATCGACTCAGTACGAAGGGAATGCAGGTCGCCTTGGGACAAGCTGCACGCCCTTAGGCAATTGGTGGACACGGTTAAGAAGGCAAGGAAGGTCACCTTGCGTGAGCTTCGGTCGTTAATAGGGAGCCTGAATTTTGCATGTCGGGTATTTCCCATGGGGAGGGTCTTCTGCAGGCAATTGGCGCGGGCAACGAGCGGGGTGAAAAAAACATCGCATTATGTCAGAGTGTCGGTAGACATTAAAGAAGACATGGGGGTATGGGCAAGGTTTTTGCAGGAGTTTAATAGGAGAGTGTTTTTCGGGAACCAGTGGGGTCATCAGAAGACGTGGGCTTGTTTATAGACGCATCGGGTAGCGTCGGGTTTGGGGCGTACCTAGCGGGACAATGGTGCGCAGAGAGGTGGCCTGAGGCCCGGAAAGCGAGCCCAATGGCGTTTTTGGAATTTTTCCCGGTGGTCGTAGCGGTAGCATTATGGGGTTCAGAGCTAGCCAATAAAAGAGTGGTGTTCAATTCGGATAACATGGCAGTGGTGCAGGCAATCAGCGGGTTATCTGCTTCTTCGTGGCCGGTGGTATGGTTACTAAGACAATTAGTACTCTTATGCATGTTGTTTAATATTGTGTTTCGAGCTAGACATATTCCAGGGCTAACCAATGTAGTCGCTGATGCGCTGTCTCGCTTACAGTGGGATCGTTTTTGGGAGGCGGTGCCAGAGGCGAAGGAAACGGGACAAGCTTGTCCAGCAGAGATGTGGCAGCTCGGGACGTCCTGCTTGGGGAGTACATAAAGAAGTCTTTGGCGCCTGGGACTTGGTCCTCATCCGTGCTGTTATGGATCCTATGCCGCTTGTTCACAAAGCAATCATCGCCATCGATGGTGGATAGGCACTTGTCAGCGTTAGCATTCTTGTTCAAGTTCAATGGCTGGGATGATGTGATGAAGCATTTTATAGTGAGGCAAGCGGTACGGGGATTCAAGAAGGGTAAGAAAACAGGAGATACGAGAAGGCCAGTTTCATTCACGGTATTGCAAGGGTTGATAGGCAAGCTACCTGACATATGTTTTTCTGCGTTCGAACTGGCGTTGTTTACGGTAGCGTTTTCATGGGCCTTTTTTGGGGCGTTTCGGATAGGAGAATAGGTTAGCACCAACAAGAAGGGGGTTGGTGGGCTCAGGTTGGAAGACGTGACGGTTGGTGGGGACAGGGTAAAGATACGACGGATGTCTTCGGGAAAGGTTCCATGGTCATGTTGAATTACCGGGGTGTGGGTTGTGTCCAGTGGCGAGTGGGGCCGGGTTTTTGGAAAACCGACCGGAGGTGAAAGGATGTTTCTTTATACATGCCGACGGCACAGCGCTGTCGCGCTTCCAATTTGTGAGGGTTTTCCGGTTGGGCTTACAGAAGTTAGGACTGGAGCCTATGCAGTTCGGAACACATTAATTCCGTATAGCTGCAGCGACTGAAGCTGCGCGCCTGGGCTTAGGAGACGAGCAGATTAAACGGATCGGGAGATGGGAATCACTAAGGTTCCGCTCGTATCTGCAGCTGACAATGTGGGGAGAGTTTGGGGGAGTATATGCTGCTTTATCGCTGTTGTGTTTTCTTTTTTAGGTTGGACGGTGTGGATAATTGGCCATTTGTATATCTATTGGGCACAGAAGAGGGCTGCAGTTCTAAGAAACGGAACACAGCTGGGCTTTCCTGTGGAACGGGTGGCGTTTTCCTGGTTTGGTTATTGGGGGTTTGATTGGCAGCACATTAGTATAGCGATGTTTCAAAAGGTTGCGAAGGAGGCTTTACCAAATGTTGTAGTAGTTCATGGGGGGAGAAACGACTTAGGTTTGGTCCCCCAACGTGAACTGGTTAAACGAATGAAGCAGCATGTGGATCGACTTCTGGGGCTGATCCCTGACGTAAGGTGGTATGGTCGGAGATGGTGCCTCGGTTGAGCTGGAGACACGGATTCAGCTGTAGTTGCTCGATGTCGGGGTAAGGTAAACAAGACCATGGCGGTGTTTGTTCGTAGGTTAGGAGGGGTAGTGGTGCGCCATCGGGAATTGGAGGAAAAGTTACCCGAGTACTTTCGATCAGATGGGGTGCACCTGTCGGATGTAGGTTGTGACCTTTTTAACTTAGGTTTGCAGAAAGTGCAAGCCCTGTTTTTGTGTGGTGGGGGTCGCACATGTCCTTAAGGGGTCAAGGCACGTGCTGTGGCGGAAAAGGTCTTGGTTAAACAGGAAGTTTGGTGGGTTAGGAAATTGATAGGCCAAGGTCTAGGCTGGAGTAGGCCGGAGTTAAAAGTGTGGAGGTAGGTTCCAGCCCATCGGTGGCTATGAACCAAGGGGTGTAGGGGTGTCTGGGTACACCCCTGCAGTTAGACAAATGGAGGTGGGGCCTCTTGGTAGGCCGTGAGTTACATGTTCTGTATTATTGGTTATGTTAATGTTTGTTCTTTGGTAGGGTCATTGTTGGGGGTATGGTACAGGAGAGAGGGGAACGAAAGGAGTACTGTGACTCTAAATTGTTAATTTATATACTTATATTAATTAATAAAGCTGTGGACATTATACTCCAACAGAACTTATGGGTGTCTGAGTGTTATTAAAGTTAAAGGTTGGCACATGCCGAATAACGACTGTGCAATAATGTCATGTACCGTTTTTTGCACTACAAAAATAAAGAATTTAAAAAAAACAAAAACATGTCACTTTGAACTACCTGAATTCCCTTTGCTTTGGTGATATAAATATGAACAACAACATGTAATTCATTGTCATGAGAAAGCTGTTCATATGTTGATATACTTGTGCAGGCCACTGTGTGCATGTGTCATTATATAAACATGTACATAAATGCACTCAGAATATTAGGTATACCTGATCATTAATGTGAAAAATCAGAAAGCTAATTGTGTGGTTGCAACTCAATACATAAAGTGTGCAAATCATATTTTGAGAAGACAGGGGTGAAGACAAAGAGATCAAATAATCTGATTAATTTACGTTCATATAGGGTAACTTTTTTATCATTTGCCATTCCCTTCTTTTATAGTGATTCTAGGAATAAATCTATATCAATGTGCAGTTTCTAAAATATATAATTTGTCTGCTGGACTTTTTTTGCTTGCATTAGTGTGTAAAAAAACAATATCTGTGTTCCTTGAGTTTGTGAGCAGCAATGCCACAAAAATGACCGGTGTGCCCTCACTGAAGTCATGTGACATACATGGCCAATCAAGGTGAAGCAATAGGTCAAAGGACAGGAGGAAGAAAAGAACTGTGGTTAAAGGGAATGGAAAAATTAGCTAAGCTTTGCTGTGTATATCTGTACTTATTATAATAATCTTAAACAATATATTGTACCTAAAGCATACAAAGAGCAAAAAAGAGATAGTTCAATTTATCTAATTAATTAATATAAATATTTTTAAATTATATATTTTGCTAGCTGGGGTGGGTGGGAGTTATGGGAAATTGGGGAATTTAGGGTTAGTGCTGCTTACTACTAGTAAGGGGTTAACGGTAAAAAAAAAGCTTCTAAAAATGTTAAATCTATAAAAAAAAAGTTTAACGTTTAGGAAAGTTTTAAAAATTAATACGCAAAAAGTTTAAAAACTAGTTTTAAAAAATAAAAAAAGTTGAAAAAAGTAAAATAATACATTTAAAAATGCTCATTACCACCGGGGGTATTGCTGTACTCAGATGATATTGCTGAGCAACATATGTAGTATTATACAGTCGTAGCACACATAAGGTTTTGCAAAATATACTGTGTAAACTCACTACGTGTGTCAAGAATGCAGAAAAAATGCTTATTACCACTACACTTGGTACAATCTAGCGGAAAAATGATCCTACAATAAGGTTCAAAATATGCCTTTTGAAATATCCTGGGATGTCTTCTTTAAGAAATGGTATGGATTCATGAGGTATTTGGATTATATACCCTGGTAAAATACTCTAAAATGGGACATGGGCACAGCGTAAAAATTTTAAGTTTTGAAAAAAACTGGAATGGCTGTGTCGCAAATGTGCCCCTCCGATGTCCACATATACCTGGCAAAGGTACATACGGGGGTATTGCTGTACTCAGCCGACATAGCTGAGCAACATATGAAGTCGTAGCACACATACGATTTGCAAAATATACTGTGCAAACTCACTTTGTGTGTCAAAAAGGCAGAAAAAATGCTTATTAGTAATAAGTAGACATGCAATTCGTTTCGGGCCCAATATGTATTCGGACGAATTTCGGGCAATTCGGACATTCGGGTACTTCCGAATAGCCGCAGTGCTGAATTACCGAGGTCCCGAAGTTCCGAAATTACCGAAGTGTCGAAGTTCCGAAGTTCTGAAGTTGCTGAAGTGCCGAATTGCTGAAGTTCCAAAGTACAGTTTTGCCTAAATACTAATATACTTACCCAGTGGAAGAAGAAGAATGTTACACTGTATACAATTTAAAATAAAAAGTATACAAACATAGCTAGGATTCAGCTGTAAGCATTTGCAACACTTACAACAATCAAGTAACACACATTCATATAAAATGTAAAATGTCAATGTAATGGCAGGACCATGGTTCCTATATATTACCCGCTACAGACAGGCAGGTAACGCCCCCGAACCCACTGACGGGGCAACATCAGATGCGGATCCCACAAGACACAGTCCACCCCCCCCTTAGCCATATCTCCCTCCCCCCCTCCTTTTTTTCTTTTTTTTTCTTTTTTTTTTTCTTTCTCCCTCTCTCTCTTACTTTCCTCTTCTTCTTCTTTTCTTCCTCTCTCTTCTTACCTCTCTTTCTTTCTTCCGTTTCGCTGGACGGGCCCCGGGACCGGGGAATCGGGATCGGGATCGGAGAGATACATTACGATAAAAACAAAGAGGGCAAAAAAGGGAAGGGTAAGAGAAAAAGGAAAATCTATCGACCTCTGAAACTCTAAGGAGAGGAACACCCACTCCTGACGGGATCTGAGGAGTGCTCAGACTCCCTAGGGAAACGTGAGCCAAACCATGCCTTGCTAAATGTTCCGGTATCAAAATGTTTAAAGTAGAGCTTACGCTCATATAGCAGACACGCAACATCTTAACTCCACTACAATCACACATTACTAGGTCTACGACACACACACCACTAACGACACCAAGACATCACGCATGGGAAATTTCACGAACTATAGACTCTGCTACAAGTAGTAATGACAACACCCCTAGCCATATAAGATAACACACTAGAAATGGGGACACGTATTATACAACCCACTAAACTTACTCTCATGGCACGCTAAAGACCCGCATACACATCTGGAACGCAAAGACCCGTGAGTCTCACCGTTATATCTCCCTACCTTACACATCTCACTAACTCACACCTAGAGACACCCACATATTCTATCACCTGACATAACGAGGCGAAGTAATAAAGTCAAATGGAAGGAGGTGGGGAGATGGAACTACAGAGTGAGAGGAATGAGGGAAACGAAACCTTTACGTTACAAAAACAGTACAGGACCTCTCCTCCCGACCTGCATATTTTGGCGTACTGCACGATGTCAAATATTATGCATCATTACGACTGTTATTTCACTCTGTCACATAACGAAAAAGACTTACAAAAAATAAAATAAATAAAAAGTAATGAAACTCATGGGGAAATACGGACGAGAACCCCGACATAATGTGATTAACATCCTCAAATTGATGCTATGTTGGAGACCTGCGTGTCTTAACTTGTAAAGCTTTTTGAAGCATGTACTGCATATTTGAACCACTTATCAATAAAAACAGATTTATAAAAAAAAAAAATGTAATGGCAGGAATGAATAAGTAGATAGCTCCCTAATACCGTGGAAATTAGGGAGTTATCTACTAAAAGGCTGAAAGACCTAAATTGGTCTTTCAGCCAAATTTACTAATACTAAGTAAAGATTACTTAGTATTAGTAAATTATGCCCCTACTCGCTATACCACGAGTAGGGGCATGTCTATTAAACAGTGAGCAGCCTGTGGCCCCATCCACCTCCTAACCTGAAGGGGGACCTATTGCCCCCCCCGAATGGCGGGGGCCCTAAAGTAAAATAAGGGGGGGGACCTATTGTCCTCCCCCTGGCCCCCACCTCTGAGCGGCGGGTGGGGGCCCTAAATCAGAATAGGGGGGGGACATAATGTACCCCCCTAAATACCAATAAGGGGGGGGAACCTAATGTCCTCCCCCCGGCCCCCACCCCTGAGCGGTGGATGGGGGCCCTAAATACTAATTAGGGGGGACGTAATGTCCTCCCCCCTGGCCCCCACCCCTGAGCGGTGGATGGGGGCCCTAAATACTAATTAGGGGGGACGTAATGTCCTCCCCCCTGGCCCCCACCCCTGAGCGGTGGGTGGAGGCCCTAAATAATAATTGGGGGGGACCTAATATCCTACCCCCTGGACCTAATGTCCTCCCCCCTGGCACCCACCCCTGAGCAGTGGGTGGGGGCCCTAAGTTAGAATGAGGGGGGAGGACCTAATTTGAAATCCATAAATCAGAGTGCTCTGTGTCATTTTACACAGTGTGGGAAAGCTCTTTGGAATTTTCCCACGCTGTGTAATTTGACTCATAACTCTCTGATTGGTTACTTAATCCACCAATCAGAGTATTATGAGGCAAATTACACAGCGTGAGAAAATTCCAAAGAACTTTCCTCATGCTGTGTAAAATGACACAGAGCACTCTGATTGGTGGATTTTAAACCAACCAATCAGAGTGCTGTGACAGGTAAATGTAGAGATTTACCTGTCAGTCTCTTCATTTACCTGTCAGAGCACTCTGATTGGCTGGCTTAAACCCACCAATCAGAGTGCTCTGAGCCTAATTGCAGGGCGGGGCAAGGCTTTATAAGCCTTCCCCTGCCCTGCAGAGCTCAGTCTGCGCTGAGCCCTCTCTGGGTGAAGATGGATTTTTTTTTTCGCTCGTTTTTTTTTTCTTCTTTGTTTGTTTTTAATTGCATCGCTTATTGGATTTTTATTTGGCCTTTTTTGGGGCTGAAAAAAGAAGATTTTAGAAGAAAGAAAACATCAAATGGTAAGTTTATTTTTATTTTTTTTACAGGTACTTACAGTTAAATGCCCCCCCTCATTATTTTTAGGGTGAGGGGGGGTAGGTAGGGGTAATTTTTTGGGGAAAGGGGGTGACTAGGGGTTTGGGGACCCCTAGTCACCTGCGGGAGGGGGGTTATTTTTTTTTATTTAGGGCCCCCACCCGACGCTCAGGGGTGGGGGCCGGGGGGGAGGACATTAGGTCCCCCCCCTTATTAGTATTTAGGGCCCCCACCTACCGCTCAGGGGTGCGGGCCTGGGGGGAGGACATTAGGTCCCCTCCCAATTAGTATTTAGGGCTCCCACCCACCGCTCAGGGGTAGGGGCCAGGGGGAGGACATTAGGCCCCTCCTAATTAGTATTTAGGGCCCCCACTCACCGCTCAGGGGTGTGGGCCAGGGGGGAGGACATTAGGTTCCCCCCCTATTCTAATTTAGGGCCCCCACCCTCCGCTCAGGGTTGGGGACTCGGCAAGGGGGGCCCTTTTAAAAAAAAAAAAACTAGACATGCCCCCACTCGCGGTATAGCGTGTAGGGGCATAATTTACTAATACTAAGTAATCTTTACCTAGTAAATTTGGCTGAAATACCGTGGGAATTAGGGAGTTATCTACCAAGCGGCTGGTAGAGAAGTTCCGAAGTGCCGAAGTTCCAAATTTCAGAATGCCGAACCAAACCGAAAAACTTTCCCATGCACATGCCTAGTAATAAGCATTTTTTCTGCCTTTTTGACACTTGGTACAAGCTAGCGGAAAAATTATCCCACGCTAAGGTTCAAAATATGCCTTGATATTGAACGGAGAATTGATCCCAAATTGGCACAAGATGTGCTTTTACATAAAAGGCAAAATTTGCAATAATTGAGAATGGTTAAATAAACCAAATCAACCAAAAAATGGGGCTCCCAACACAACTATTTGTGTTTAATCACTGTAGCTTTAGTTTAAGCTCCTGATAGTCCTTCATTTTCAGTTAGCTTTTATTTTAATGGTGGTCTTAACAAGAAGCAGTAGAACCATGCTTTTTACAGTAAATTTTTTCCTGCTAATCATATTGTAAAAGGGACAATAAATGCCAAAATTATAGATATATATAATTCTGGCATTTATTGTCGCTTTTACAATATGATCCCTTTTATATATATAACATACACAAAATCTTGCACTTCGAGAAATTCAATAATATTTGACCAGGTGCAACATTCCGCAGATAGTCCAAACTACATAAAAATGGAGCTATCAGGACTTCTTGGTAAACAACACAATTTGCTATTTATTTAGTCATCATGTCAGTTTGATAGTGCAAACTTTCTTTACTCACCAAACAGCAACTTCAAAGCTTATAGAATTGAAAAGTTTTTTTTTTCTAACTGCTGTTTGGTGGGTGAGTTTGTGAGTGCACTGGATCTCGTATGTTGTATGAATTGGCCCCAGCATCACCCTTATAATATATCCATGATTAGGTGAGTGCAGCCCTCTTGGTGTTTATATGTACATATATAGAGGAGGCCACGCCAACTCCAGTGGCATTGCACCACTCCCTGTCACAGGGAGCTGGGTGGATTATTTACCTGGGGTCCAGTGGGGGCAGCTAGGTGGGCAAGCAGGGGGGCGGCAGATGCACAAAGCAGACAGCGTAGGAGCTGTGATTTTCTTACTCAGCTCCCTCGCGCGCCGCTTAGTGATGCCTGGAGCTGGACTGATGTCCTACTCTGGCTCCCGGCATCACTGCGGGGCGTGCGAGGGAGCTGAGCAAAAAGAACTTACAGTTTAGCACTTCCTCGCCGCAGCAAAACAGCTGGCTGCCCGCCCCAGCTGGCCAACTCTTGGACCCCATAAAACGAGGCTAAGAAGGTATTTGCCTGGGCAATTTTGCCTTGTGCCTCAGGGTAAATACAGCCCTTCATTGACGTTATGGCAAGCTTATGAAACGTGTAATCATGTACTGTAACAAAATCCTTATTGTTTTGCCTGAACTGTGTGTTTAAAAAAAAAAAAAAATTATTAAGTTCTCTTAGCTTTCAAGTTGCTGTTTTAAAAATGAGTGAGTGCGCTGGATCTCATATGATATAAGAAAACATAACACAACTCATCAAGGCAAAAACAATGTGGGATTAGTTACAGTATATGATCATACATTGCATAAGCCCACCACAATGTCAATGTACCCCATTTTTAGCAGGTCCTACTCTAGCATCCTAATGCCTGCTCTTATGAGATTTAACCAATACTTGGAAAAAACTTCCTCCTGCATTTCTCTCTCTCTCTATATATATATTTAGTTTTAATGAGTGACACTACAAAGTAAGTATCCATAACATGTCATAACAATGACACAAGAATACCACTCCTTCTGCTTGTGTATCCTATGGATGTTCAGAGTCCTTGAATCATAGTTACACATTACAAAGAACTGCTATATTGCTGTAATAATTTAACAATGTGCATTAAATGGAGATGAACATGTAACAAATGGAACTGAGCTGTTGGCTACAATTAAAAGTTCATATATAAGCTATAAAAGGAATCTTTAAAAAACAAAGACAAAAATTCTTACAGGGTGATCCTGGAATATAAATGTTCTCCTAATTCTATGAGGTACAAAACTTAGGTGCCTGCAAATAGGGACAAAGGCGGCTGAGGAAATTAAGTTCATGGGTTAAATCAGAGTGCCCAGAAGGTAGATCCCCAGTTTTATAACTACAGCTCCATGATGCTGTGTCATTTTACAGGCATGCAAAGCATCATTTGAATTTTAGTTCTACAACATCTGCGGGATATACCTATTGGGCACCCCTGGGTTAGATGAGGGAGAGAAAGTGGCGCTAAAAGCCAAATCCTCTTCCAGGATACAAGTGCTGTAGGTCTCAAGGGGTCGGTCATCCTACTTTTTATTATATTTACTGAGAATCTAAATCCTATACTACCAATATGTATTACATACAGATATATTCTTTGCTTAGTAACAATAAACTGGCAGCAAAAAAAAAGAAAAAAAAGAAAGAAAATAAATAAAATGAAAGTTTGTGATTTTGGCACATATAGTACCCCCTTGCCTTATCCACCACACTCAAAATTGTCATGAACTAAAGGGACGGAGACTTGTGCTAGCTCACAACTCATTTATACATGACCATCTACCCATTCTACTTTCTCATAATATATTTTGTTTGCAGTTGGCCTGGGGCCCAATATTACTTCATGCAGCTTGAAATCTCTTACACATGAGCTAAAGATCGAGGAGCATACTGCTGCTGTCCTTTTTTTTTTTTTTAAATATAGGGTCTTGGGACCACTAACATTTTCTTCCATTATTATTTTATATGTTTGTGAACTGAGAGGGTTTCGTTTATAGAAAGCATAGTCTTTCAGTGACTGTTTTATCACAAGTCTCTGCCTTTGCAATCCCTTTGATTTACTTATGGGTCACTTGTTAACCCCAATTCTCAGTTGAGGTTTTCCTTGGCAAAGAATTCTGCAAGTGAAAGCATTGGTGAAAATATTGTTTGTACTGAAAACCGCTTCAACCACTTTGAATCTAGCCCCAGAATTATCCCAGTTTATTTTGAGTATTTTCTCAGATTCTTCCATACCTCACTACATATGCACATACACCCACTACTACACTAATCTGTTTGATTTCCATGTAGCTTAAAACAAGCATGTCAAACTCAAAGGATAGCACAGGCCAAATAAACAAGGTTTAAGTTTATGTGGGCCACAAAAAAATAAATAAAAATAAAATAAATTTATAGAAAAGTACAGTGTTAAAAAAAAACAGCATCCCCCTCTACTAAACCTCTGAACTAAATCCAAGTCCCCCCTCTATACTAATTCCCAGTGCCCCCCTCTATACTAAATCCCAGTCCGCCCCTCTATACTAAATCCCAATCCCAGTCTCAGTCCTGGTATACCCCCAATAGTGATGTCCGCACCCTGTGCCAAAGCGGATCCTCCCGCTACTCCTTGAAAAATTCTGAAGGTGTAGCATGTTGACGACATGTTGGAATGTGAGGTGGTGTTGCGTGCCTCCATGCACCTCCAGGTCCTCCACTATCCAGCTGCAGCCATCGCAACACTGACCAACACACACCGACAGAGACACTCACACTGACAGGCACACTCACACTGACTGATGCAGGGTGCCTAAACTACATCATATTCCGGCATCACTACAGAGGCCACACGCGATGAGTCGGAAGACTGAGCTCCCTTGCTGCCGCCAGTGATCTTTCCTCCCCAGCCGCGTACGTTTTAGCAGAGTAGGCACCTGCAATATGGGGAGAGCAGGTGCCTACTCTGCTTTAGTAAGCATGTCAAACTCAACAAAAGATATTGATTGCGTGGGTCGTGAGTTGGAAATGCTTGGCTTAAAGGGTTACTCCAACCCTTTTTAAGTACACATTTAGTTTTTTCATCATTTAACCTTATAAAAAGCAATAAACTTACCTAAAGTTCAGCACTGTGCAAAGCTCCTTATGCCTCTTCTGACATCACAGCTCCCTCGCGCAGTGCAATCAAATGCTTCAGATTAGCATAGAGAAGCACTTGATTGGAATGTTTCTAAACCTTTAAGATTACGAAGGGAGTGAGTGGAGTGGACAAGGGAGGGAAGGAGGGTTTATTAAAACAACCAAGCAAACAAACAAAAAATTGCAGATAAAGGGTAAAGGGAGTTAGGGATGGCAGAGAGATATCAGATACAAGAGGAAGGGACTATGCATGCTTCTCTTTGCAGGCACATTTATCTATGTTTGGCGCCAGCGTACTTTGCATGCTGACAACAGATGTAAATTTTGCACAGAATTGACATTAGGCTGCCTAGGTAACATGCGCTGAATGCAACTAACCCCCAGCACACAAGTGCAAATATCTCTGGATGTGCGGGTTTTAAAGCTTAAACACTGCACATAGAGAATCTTACCACGAATGAACACTTTTAAAAGCAGGAGTGATGATGACAGTTGCAGTAACTATTTATTAATGTTTATGTTTCCATATTTTTACCATTCTGTCAGATATGAGTGACACATGCTCTGAAGTTTTCTATTTTTATCTAATACATTCTTGTGCTTAATCAAACCACTATGTGCTTTTTGTTAGCTTGCTAAACTATTTTCAGAACGCATGTGATATGTCTTGACTGTGAATTTTTATATAACCCCTAACTCCTTATCTGGAATCTAATAAAATTAAGCAAATCAGCTTCATGCTAAAATCTTATTAAAACTCAGCAATTTGGGAAAATTTTATATTATACAGTTCGAGACACAAAGCACTCCCAATTCTTAATACAAACAGAGGCTGTTGGGTTATTAATTAAATATAATAAAGTGTATAATTATTTCAGTCCATAACCTTGGACATTTTTTAAGTTTAATATAATTTTGTTCCCCCATTAATACAGAATTGTAGTGAAATAAAAATCTAATTGCAAAATTTTGCCTAAAATATCCAATAGACGATTATATCTAAGTTGTGAATTTTCTTTATCAGCAATTTTAGCCCAGATTTTGCAATCCCATTTTACAAAAGAAAAAAAAATCAGGTGATCTCACCTGCATATAGATAACTGTGTAAATAATTTTAATAAAATGGTATTGAGTGGATTATTTTCTCCCACCTTAAACTGAGGTGTGAACAATGTGCTCTATTGCTATGGGAAGAGGGTTAATCAGTCACTAGACAGAAACTAGCCATATCAGTAAGTAAATATTCACTGGCAGCTAAACAGAGTGCATAATGCCTTGCATGTACCTAGGGATAGGCAACTAATAGTTCTCCACTAGCTACAGACAACAACTCCCATTATGCTGAATTATTTTCTAGTAGTACTGGTTGATTTGAAGAATGTTTGCTATTTAGTTAATTTGTTCTTTAATTTGCATTTCCTTGTCGTGCTGACTTAATCTACCTTCACTAGACATCGTTTTAACTAGTCTAATTATCTGCTTGAACAGAGCTCTCTCTAAGCCTCCAACCCATAGCTCCCAGCACGAGGACTGCTGTAAGCGTGGTATGTAAGCAAGTAATATCCCAAACAATGCCCTTGAAGTCAGGCGAAGGATGAACACTTATTGACAGGGTAAATGATGGAGGTTATAAAATGAGGGAATATTGAAAGGTAAATATTAAATGAGGGACTTCGATAGAATGAAGGGTATTAAATTAGTATGAAACTATTACATACATACATACAAAGTAGGGACGAGGTAAACCTTAAGCTAATTGGTAGAATAAATTAGAAAACTATTAGACTATTTAAATTTGGGGGTATCGGGGTACTCCTGGCACCATAACCTCAACAGCACACTGTAATGACTAGAGTGCTTGAGGTGTTCCTTTAAGGAAGAATACATGTAATATATTTTGCTTAAAATTGTATATTTGTACTGAGCAAAAATAAATATTAAAAGGGAGCTGTCAGTTCTTGGGATTTTTAATATTGTGTTTGGTAAACATTTGGCAAATTTAATATAGAAATCCGGACCTCTTTATTCTGCAACTGGGTGCCTCCTTCTTAGTTTCCTTAATTCCCTGTCAATGATTTTCATACGTTCTGTCCTTGGTCCTAAATCAATCCCACAGAAGGTAAACTGCAGGCATAATGGACAGAGCAGAACAAAATGGCTGTAACCAGATATTGAGATCTGGCACAAGAAAGAAAATATAATAAATATAAATAAAAACAAATGGCAATGAGGGGAGTATAATCATGAAGATTCAAAAGGCATAAGGAAAAACTAACAAAGAGGAAAAAAAATTACAGGGCCGCTTTAACTGTGCCACAAATTTCTTATATATTACTTTACATATATTACATACTTCATTTCATAGTGATCTAGATTGAAAGGGGAATAAAGTCTATAAGGTTCAAGCTCAAAAACCATTAACTTATGTTGTTGATCCAAAAGAAGACAAACAACCCAATTGTGTTTATTTCCAATTAAGTCACAAAAAGGGGGGGCAGAGGGGAACCTTATTGGCTCCATAATAGCAATCAGATTTTTCCAGGTCTACCACCTGTTCACATACATATCAATTATATCCTTGAATATTCTGTTTTTGCAAAAAAGCATCAGGCCTTTAAAAATAAATAAATAAATAATAATAATAATTAAAAAACAATTATCTATAGAATATGATAAGACAACCTCTTTAGATAGAGAATTCCACATCTTTATTGTTCATAAAACATAATATTGTCAGAATTTAAAAAAAAATAAGTAAAACTTTTTAGTTTCATTTAGGAAAAAAATCCTAATAATAATTTTTTTAAAATTATACATATTTATATACACACATTTATCAAAAGGATCTATTGTATGGCCATACTTTCTGAAACTAACTGACCCATATCCTAACACATACACCTGTGCCCTTTACTGGGTTGCAATTAGGTTTTGCCGCACGTGGTAGCTGCTTACCATTTTACTTAACGTAATTTATCCCAGTGACTCCACACTTTTTAATTCTGTGTACATGGCCAGCCCCAGGCTAATGAGGCCCACCAGGCAATCTCTTGGTTTCCCAGTGGGCCAATTCAGTTCTGAAAATCCACGATAAACCAGCCAGAAAAACTGGCTAGTGTAGGGGTTTGACTCAATACATTTTAATTTTCAAAGTAGTCATGAGGGATAAGATTTGACTTCTAGGTCTTTAAGCATGTTTTTCTCCATGTAAAATATTTGATATTTTTTTCCTATGGCCTTTCTACGTTGCCAGTTTAAAACATTTTTAGATTTATATTTTTGCTCAGGAAAACTATGTTTTTGGATGCAGTGATGCATTTTTTTTTTGCTGCATTGTGGTCAACCAGATCGACGCACCAAACCAGTCGTGTACAAATTTCCACCCTTACACTTATTGAATCCATATTTTTAAGTAATTTTTACTGTGTTAATATATTTATGTTGCAGGCAAACAACTTAATGGGTGAAGTGTGAATGTAAGTATGTGGAAGTTTATGTGCATACAATTAATTACCGCATGTGAATGTGTAACTGTTTAATTTAGAGTTTGCATATTACAGGGAGTGCAGAATTATTAGGCAAATGAGTATTTTGACCACATCATCCTCTTTATGCATGTTGTCTTACTCCAAGCTGTATAGGCTCGAAAGCCTACTACCAATTAAGCATATTAGGTGATGTGCATCTCTGTAATGAGAAGGGGTGTGGTCTAATGACATCAACACCCTATATCAGGTGTGCATAATTATTAGGCAACTTCCTTTCCTTTGGCAAAATGGGTCAAAAGAAGAACTTGACAGGCTCAGAAAAGTCAAAAATAGTGAGATATCTTGCAGAGGGATGCAGCACTCTTAAAATTGCAAAGCTTCTGAAGCGTGATCATCGAACAATCAAGCGTTTCATTCAAAATAGTCAACAGGGTCGCAAGAAGCGTGTGGAAAAACCAAGGCGCAAAATAACTGCCCATGAACTGAGAAAAGTCAAGCGTGCAGCTGCCACGATGCCACTTGCCACCAGTTTGGCCATATTTCAGAGCTGCAACATCACTGGAGTGCCCAAAAGCACAAGGTGTGCAATACTCAGAGACATGGCCAAGGTAAGAAAGGCTGAAAGACGACCACCACTGAACAAGACACACAAGCTGAAACGTCAAGACTGGGCCAAGAAATATCTCAAGACTGATTTTTCTAAGGTTTTATGGACTGATGAAATGAGAGTGAGTCTTGATGGGCCAGATGGATGGGCCCGTGGCTGGATTGGTAAAGGGCAGAGAGCTCCAGTCCGACTCAGACGCCAGCAAGGTGGAGGTGGAGTACTGGTTTGGGCTGGTATCATCAAAGATGAGCTTGTGGGGCCTTTTCGGGTTGAGGATGGAGTCAAGCTCAACTCCCAGTCCTACTGCCAGTTCCTGGAAGACACCTTCTTCAAGCAGTGGTACAGGAAGAAGTCTGCATCCTTCAAGAAAAACATGATTTTCATGCAGGACAATGCTCCATCACACGCGTCCAAGTACTCCACAGCGTGGCTGGCAAGAAAGGGTATAAAAGAAGAAAATCTAATGACATGGCCTCCTTGTTCACCTGATCTGAACCCCATTGAGAACCTGTGGTCCATCATCAAATGTGAGATTTACAAGGAGGGAAAACAGTACACCTCTCTGAACAGTGTCTGGGAGGCTGTGGTTGCTGCTGCACGCAATGTTGATGGTGAACAGATCAAAACACTGACAGAATCCATGGATGGCAGGCTTTTGAGTGTCCTTGCAAAGAAAGGTGGCTATATTGGTCACTGATTTGTTTTGTTTTGTTTTTGAATGTCAGAAATGTATATTTGTGAATGTTGAGATGTTATATTGGTTTCACTGGTAATAATAAATAATTGAAATGGGTATATATTTGTTTTTTGTTAAGTTGCCTAATAATTATGCACAGTAATAGTCACCTGCACACACAGATATCCCCCTAACATAGCTAAAACTAAAAACAAACTAAAAAACTACTTCCAAAAATATTCAGCTTTGATATTAATGAGTTTTTTGGGTTCATTGAGAACATGGTTGTTGTTCAATAATAAAATTAATCCTCAAAAATACAACTTGCCTAATAATTCTGCACTCCCTGTAATTTGCAGAGTAAATATATGTACAAGTACTGTATTAATATGTGTGTGAATGCATGAATTTGTATGTATATATATATGTGCGTGTGGATGTGAATGTATATGTATGCACAAGTAAAATTAAATAAATCTAAAAAGAAATACAATGTATGCATATGTATATAATAATGCTTACAAGTACAGTCATGCACACATAAATGCTACTAAATACACCGAAATGCATGTGAACATGCACATATAGACATTCACTTTCATAAAGACATCAATATACAAATATGTATGTAGATAGAAATATATAGATATGAACATACTTAATGAGGCATGTAATTAACTTGATTCAACATAGACCGATGGGCTTTCTTTGCAGCAAAGTTATGTTATGTAAAATTGACATTTGTTAAATTTATATATGTGTGTATGTATGTATATGTATGTGTGTGTGTATATATATATATATATATATATATATATAGATGTGACAAGACCAATCTCGCCACTGTGCATTGGAGGAGCCTCATTGCCCGCCTGCTGCCTTTAGACTATGGCCCCACGTTGAAACGCTTGATTTTTTCCCCTGCAAAGACACGAAAGCCGGGTCATTTGGTGCTTGCCCTGTTTGAGCGGTGATACCCCAGATAGCTATGCAATGGAGCCCATTCGTATAATGAAAGACTATGGGAAAAACTTTGGCTCTATGGCAATTGAACTGTATGTGTGTGATCTGAGTGCCATTCAGTAATAATATGCGCTCAGATATGAGCTATCTGGGGATATGTTGAATGCACCTGTTTTATGCAATGGCTGCACAGTTATATATTTTTATGTATTTTATTGTCTTTTGCTGCCATGTGTTCAATGGAGTTTTGCCTCTGTCCTTGGAGATAATTGGATTACTTCCAATTATCTCCAGGCTAGAAGACTCTGTGGAACTGGTTTTGGGCAGAAATGCCATGCTTCATTTGGTCACAAAGGACTACGATCTATCTTTTGAACCACTGGACCAATTTGTATGATTTTGACTTATGTTTGTATTTGGAGTATGCTGATTCTGAAAATGTAAGTGAATGTGATGCATACTTTTAAAATCATGAATAATGTGGAAAAACTGTATTTCTCTGCCTGTGATAATTACATTACCTATTGTGTAAGGTAATTGCATCACAGGCAGAGGGAAGGATTTTGTGTGGGAGTGTCTGAGTGTATTGTACGTGTTTATTGGTTGTTTTCCAAAACCCTGTGGGTGGTACTAATGTGTAAGAATGTGTATATAAGAACAATAAACCCACAGCTCTGTCTGTTCACTGCTTGACCTTCAACACGGAGCTTTGTTTCGCTCTTGGGGGGATTTATTGTATGCTGTTCCAGTTCGACTGCTAGGAGTGTAAACCTTTTGTATGGTTTTTTCTATTCGGCTGTTTACAGCATTCGTATAGTTTCCTGTTCGGCAGATTGGTGTCTTTGGTAGCTGACTGTGTATCTGGAAGGGGAATATCCTCTAAACGGCGGTTTAACCCTTTTATGCCTCGGTGTGCTGTTACAATATATTTAGTTTGTATATTGTATTTTTTGTAATATTGTATCCTATTGTAATAATACAATGTTTTGATGACCCAGGACATACTTGAAAACAAGAGAAATCTCAATGTATCCATCCTGGTAAAATATTTTATAAATAAATATTTACTAACTAGTATAACTGCAGTGGTGGCAATTTGTAAAGATTAATTCAGAGCAGTGGCGTACATACCGGGTACCAGTTGCCACGTTTTGTGGCCCCGGCTCATGCGGCAAACCGCCGGGACCGCATGTTAAGGGGTCCATCGGGTGGCCCATGCTGTCAGGGACACCCAATGGATATGGATTGTGAGGGGGCCTGGTCTGTGCTGGGCGCTTTAACAGCGCGACCAGGCCCCCTGTGATTACATCATCGCTGGCAGGAAGTGATTCCCCAGTCACTCCTCCCAGCATACTGAGATCCTGCGCGGGAGGAAGGAGAAGGGAGTCAGAGTGGGAACTCTGACTCCCATCAGGCTGAGCCCCCACTGGACCCCAGGGAAAGTCACAAGTTAGGAAACATTTTCTATATGTGTGTGTGTCTGTTTCTATATGTGTGTGTGTCTGTGTCTCTGTATATATGTGTGTGTGTCTTTGTATGTGTGTGTGTCTGTGTCTCTCTGTGTGTGTGTGTGTCTGTGTCTCTGTATGTGTGTGTGTCTCTGTATGTGTGTGTGTTTGTGTGACTCTGTGTGAGTGTCTGTGTCTCTCTGAATGTATTTGTGTGTGTCTGTCTGTATGTATTTGTGTGTCTCTGTATGTGTGTGTGTGTCTATGTATGCAGTGGTGTACACACAGTCCATGGGACCCCGTATGTATGTGTGTGTGTCAATGTATTTGTGTCTGTGTCTCTCTGTATGTATGTGTGTGTGTCTCTGTATGTACGTGTGTGTCTCTGTATGTACGTGTGTCTCTGTATGTGTGTGTGTCTATGTATGCAGTGGCGTACACACAATCCATGGGGCCCTGTATGTATGTGTGTGTGTCTATGTATGTGTGTGTCTATGTGTGTGTGTGTCTCTGTATGTGTGTGTGTCTCTCTGTATGTGTCTCTGTGTCTCTATGTGTGTGCATGTATGTGTCTGTGTGTGTGTGTCTGTCTGTGTGTATATATGTGTGTGTGTCTGTCTGTATGTGTCTGTCGAGGGATGTATGTGTGTGTGTGTCTGTCTGTGTGTATATTTGTGTGTGTCTGTGTGTCTGTGTCAGGAGGGATGAGGGGGCATGGATCAGGGGAGGGGGGAGCCCACGGATCAGTTTCACACCGGGGCCTCATGGATTGTGTGTACGCCACTGGTTCAGAGCTTAGGAAACCATTAGAACTCCAAGACCATTTGGTGTTCACCAATGGACTCTGAAAGAAATGCTCTTTAACGATAGCAGTGCTAGCGAAAGTATGTGTAATTGCTCACTATACAAGTGCCACCAGTAAAATTAACATTTTCAGTGTCTCAGTGGAGAGTCCCATGAACTTCAACAAAAGTAGGAGAGGCTCGGTGAAAAGAAGTTGACATTGTGTGCATGGATTTCTCAGTTATAAGACATGAACTTTGAAAAAACTACTCACTAGCCTAAATACAAAGCAATGTCTATGACACGAATTAAAGAAATGTAAAAAGCATACTGAGTGTATATTACATGAAAATTGCTCATAGACCTATAATCACACACCTTGCGACCTAGAGGCTTAAGGAACCCTTGCCACCCATCCAAAATATGTCCACCCCCTCACATTAGCAATATTAAGGAGGATATAAAGACTACTACTAATAAAAAATAATTACTATTTGAAGCCTTCTTCAATCTTCTTTATTCAACCAAAAAAATGTGTCAAATAAAAATTACCAAAAGGGGCTGCCGGGTGGCATGGGTGCATTCTTAGTTTAACTGTCTAGCGTAAATTCTTTCCTATGAACTGGCTGAATGCGCGCGTGGCTCCAGCCGCGCATGCGCATTCAGCCGATGACATCGCTATGGAGGAGGAGAGGAGGAGGAGAGCTCCCCGCCCAGCGCTGGTGAACGGTAAGATTTAAACCCATTCCTCTCCCCAGAGCCCGGCGGGAGGGAGACCCTGAGGGTGGGGGCACCCTCAGGGCACTATAGTGCCAGGAAAACGAGTATGTTTTTCTGGCACTATAGTGGTCCTTTAACTCTCAAAGTATTCTTTTTGTGGCATATTGCCTTAATTCTTGCTTTCTAGTATTATTATTATTATTGCCATTTATATAGCGCCAACAGATTCCGTAGTGCTTAGTAAATTGTTATGTCTAAAAAAACAAAGAAAGTTTCAACCAATAACCCTGGCAATCGTCTTCTCTATGACCCTGCTCAGGAACATGACACTAACCCTATCTTTCAATAAGGACGGGCCCACTAGACCTAAGAAGAGTCACGTAGACAGGGATACAGTTAATCCTACACACCTGGAGGCCTGCAGATGTGCATTATGTTTATTTAGGGATGTCTGAGTTGGCCCACTAGTTTAGTTACCAAGTGGCTTTATAATAATGTACTAAGCTTCTGTTCCAAGTAGTGGGTCCTTGAATTGTCAATCATTTACAGTATTACCATTTGGATTGCTGTGGAATATTATCATTGTATCACATATGTTTTTCCCACTCTGTCCTCCCCAATTTTCTAAGACAAAAATTCACATAAATAGAGATTGTAAAATAAATAAATGGATAAATAAAATTTACTATATCCCAATGAAATGGTGTAAAATATAAAAAAGAAAGCAAAAAAGCTCAGCTTATAAAAAATCCATCTCAACACATTGAGGGGCAGAATGAGACATGCTCGCTGAGCATTCAAGGCAGGAAAAGCTCACACAGATATTTTTAATGAGTCGATAAAAAAAAATAATAATAATCGGGGGCGAAGCTTGGAATTCAAGCTGGCAAGACGGTGATAGCCCGAGCTAACAAGTCGGAGACCTCAACTCAAGGTGACACCTGGACCTACCTTTGGATACCTTAATTGATAACCTGCGGCTCTAATAACTGCGGCAGTTGGAGATGGAGTGGAGGAGAGGCAGCCGCTTTCCTCCCTCTGAATCAAACCTAGCTTTATGAGACTCTCTTACCCCCATCTCCTCCCCACTCTGAACTGGTGGGGGATATCCCGGTCCCCTCTGGAGAGTAGTCGGCTATACCAGCTTGGCTCTACACTTAAACCAAGCAGATATTGCACAACAACATCCCAAGATGGCGGATGCTGCGTGCACAAACGCACATGGCGCAAATGCAACCAAGAGGGCACTTAGCAAAGCCACTGCCTACCAGCTGTGATGGCTAGACCAGATCTTCCAGAACTTCTCGCTGAAGATACAAGCATGTCAAATTGACACCATGGCCCACAAGTCTGTACCGTGGAAAGGACACCAGAGAAAGGAGCAGTTACATACGGTGAAGCCTCCTCACAGAGCACAATCTAAAACAAGGATTTCACAACCTCATGACCGCTCACTAAGGTCGGTGGCCACCCGAGGCAAGACCTCAAAGCATCGTCCAGCGGGCGACAGAGCATCTATGGCCAGCAGAGATTGCCACTCACCTTCTTCACCCTCCCCCTATAGGGGATGGACTTGGTCCCTCGACGAACCCAAGTCTGTGGTACAAAGATGCCGGCTCTGTTGCAGGCCTGGGCCAGAGGAGGCCCGCCGCTCCAGAGAAACATATGCCCAGACGAGGTAGAAGCTAGGCCATTTTGAGGAATTGGCTGAACTTGATCTAGGGACTGCCATCTGAGCATACTCCCTCTTCGGCAACAAGAGAAGCAATTTATATATGCTTTAAATACTATGCACCAAGTTTTCTTTATTTTGTATTATGATTTTCATTTCTTTTCTTTTGTCTCTCTCTACACTAAATGACCTACTATTGATGCGGTAAAGTAACATAATGAAAATGCTCCGGAGGTACAATATAAGCGACTCCAAGCCTAGCCTGAATATTAACTATGCTCTTTGTTTAATCTACTACAGGCAAAAAATGTTATGCAGTAGGGAGTTGGTGTACCCCCCGAATAGCTGGGTGTGTTTGTACATATTTGATTCCTTGACTAGTCTATACAACGTTATACCACTGTACATGTTTCTCTGTCAGTATATCCTGCTTATCTACCCTCCTATTACACCAATATAATATTCCTGTATATCAATCACCTTGTCTTGCGGCTCTCCTTAGTTTAAGTGTCAGACTAGCTCAGCGGTTAGCCAGGTATATTTAACACAAGCATTTTCTTAGAATGACATTTAATCTCTGTGGAAAGTGTGGTTTAAACCAAATGTTGCAGACAAGTATACATAGCCTGTCATTATCACGCATTCTAAGCATCTGAATATCTTGTTATTAATAATTCTATAAAAATGTGCCACATCTCTCAGTGCCACACACTGTTATAACATGACTGTTATTGCAAAGCTTGCACTGTTGTTGGGGCTTGGCAAGCCTGTTTGTAACCAATTGCACAAAGAAAATAAAGATTGGAAAAAAAATATAAATCAAGTGTTTTTTATTTGATATGGTTTTGCTGGGCAATAATGTTTTTTTATTAAGAAAAATGTATTTGAATTGTATTACATTTTTTTTCACAGGTCTTTTTAGATGAATGGATGGGGGAATAATTCAATATCTTTAAATGTATAGGGAATTGATTTTCTCTAGGGAGGTGCAAGAAAAACACGAGTCCATTTATGAGAATAAAACATATATTGTTAAATACTCTTTTAAAGTATGGCTCTGTGCAATCTCATCTCATATTCCATACTGCCACGAGACACAAGGAAACAAACATTATTGTAATAATAACTTTTTGACATTCTCAAACTCACCCATTCTTCCACATTGGGTCCCTCTTGGATTGGCACAAAGGGCTTGCTCCATAAAATATTTGGTTCCCCATATCGCCATATCTTTCGCCTTGTCCTCTGAGCGAAAAAAGATGTGACACATAGCAGGATGACTATAGCAAAACCACACACAATAGCAATAGCCTGGATGGAAATAGACAGAAAAATAAATGTAAATCAAGCAATAAAAAATATATACAAGGTTATTCAATAAGGTGAGAATTCAGGCTGAATTCAAATAGATTTTCAAATTTAAGGCCAGAGTAGCCATACTCAAAGCATAGCTGACTTAGAGAATTTTTCCAGATCGGCTGTTTTGACCTTACATTTGAAATTCACTCTAAAATCACCTTGAATTCTCACTCTAGTGAATAACCCTTATAAAGATGAAAGAATTATGTTAGTTTCAACCTGTTCTCACCTCTTGTGGGTCCACCATGCAGTAATGGTACAGATACTGATTGACAAATCCTGCTCCACCAGACACTGGAGAGTAGACCTGATTACAAAGCATCATGATCTGGCTGTAGTACATACTACCACCCATTTGGGCCCTTGGGTTCACACCAACTATATAGACAATTGTGGCAATAAGGTCCAAAGTGGCCAGAATTGCACTCATCACTAGCACAGCCAAGAAAAATCTCCGCGATCGAGAACCACTGGATTTAGAAACGCTCATAATAAATAGGCCCAAGGTGGATGCAAATGTCAGCACTGCCATAGCCATCATGAAACCGCTGGCAGCCTGAGGATTTGTCATTCCAGAGCCATAACCATAGCTACCATAGCCATAGCCGCCATAGCCACCCATCATACCTCCACCGTACATGCCACCAATACCCCCTAAACCTCCATAGTTGTATTCCCAGGCAAGAGTAGAAGCCACGCAGGCAAAGATTGCCACACAGAGGAAAATATTAATGGCTTGCAGGATGCGGACTATCCCAGGGGGAGATTTCCATTTGTAAAAATGTTGTGGGGGAACATCTTCAAGGTAAAAGGAGTTAGGATGTGGGGACTGGATAGGGTAGGCATTAGATTCAGGACCAAAGCTTTTCTGCTGGTAATAGTTGCTGGGTGGGCTGTAGACTGGGGGGCTGTCGTAGCGGTTCTGGTTGTACATGATGGTGTCTGTGCCCTGTAGGTAGGATAACAAAGATTTTAGTTTGTCCGTTTTTCATCCCGCTCTGTACAGCATCTCTCTTTCACCTATATTCAGTTTCTCTCATGTTTAGCTCTTCTCTCCCCCCTCTCTTTCCTATTCCTTTTCTTTTATTCTCTTTATCACCACGCTCCGCGTTTCTCTTGCACACCCTCCTTTATTTGCTCTCTCCTTTGGTTTCATATACTTTTTTTGTTTCTGTTGCAGTCCTTATCAACGTTCCTCTGAGTTTAAACTGGTTTACTCCTTAACTCCCACTCTCCTACCCTCACTTTCTTAATCACCTCTTTTACCATGCCTCCTCTAAATGGCCAATTTTTCTTCTTCATCGCCACCTCTTCTGACATTACTTGCATTCTAAATAATTAAATGTTTCCATTTCTGTTCCACGAATCCCAACAAATACTTTATAATTGTAGCTATATTATTGACCTTTTATAAACTATAAGAAACCATTGGAATTTCTTTACAATTAAGTCACATTTCCCTTAATGAAATATATCCGAATCTCGCCTACCTTTCACTTCATCCTCTGTCCATGGCATCAATGTCTGATTCTGATGACAAAATGAAAAGGATCAGAGTATTACTGGATTTCGTTACACAGATTGGTATCGTGTTATGTCTCTCCTCCCTTTTCTCACTTAGTTAAATCTCCTCCTTTAATACCAAACATATGTGTTTCTTTTTCACTTCTTGCCATGCTGACACCGTTATTGCTCTGTTATTTACAAAACACCAGCTAGTGCTGTAGTTTGAAAAGTAGAAGCAACATAACTAAACAAACAATAACACAGTTCTCTCCTCCTCTGCCTTATTTTCTTGTGGAATTCACCCTCTTTCTCTGTTTTTCACCTTCTTCTATTCTCTCCCTCCTGTCACTTTCTTTCTCTCTCTAACTTTCTCTTATTCTCTCTCCCTTTGACCTTCCACAGCTCTCTCTTTTCAGTACACACTCTCTCACCTTCTCAACCTCTCCCTCCGTTGTCTCATTCACTTTCTTCTGTCTCCCATTTTCTGTTTATCCCCCCTTCCACCTGTTTGCATCTCACCTGATATGTCCTTTCTCATTCCTTCTGTCAGCCTCACCGTATCTTTGCACTCCCCCTCTCTCTTTCTTTCTCTCTCTCGCTCTCTCATTAGTCTCACCTCTCTCCCCACTTTTTCTTTCTTCCTCCCTTTCTCACCTCTCAATGTTTTCCAGTAATGGCGCTTTTGGGATTAATGATTAGAAGCCAGCTCTGCCCACAATCACACTGTGCAATCCTCCCTTCAGGGCTAGGCCAGCACTCAAAGCACTTCAGAATTCCCTGTTTAACTATTAGGGTCAGGCTGGTGCACACAGCTTTAACTCTTTCCCTACCAAAACAACAATTTATTGCCCAATTTTCTCTATTAAAAATACATATTTAAACTGCTTCATGAAAGCGCAGTAAGAATATTAAAATACATTTAAGACAACTTTTTTTACGATTACATTTAAATAAACAGGTAAAAGGATATAGCTGCCGAGAATTTTTTTTTTTTAAATGGCCAGCTTTGCTGTGTGATTGATTTCTGTTATCTGTACATGGATTAACCAATCACTATATGAAAATAATTTTTTTCACACAAAACTTTTTATTTTTTTTATTTTTGTTACGTGGCATGGAAAGTCCTGAATTTTTTGGAACAGTAGCTGAACAGGAACTGTGGTGAATTTTAAATTGCTGGCCAAAAGAGCCAAAGAAGAAAAAAAACTCAACTATGTTTTCTGTTTGGCTATTTTACTTTGACGCTGCAGTACGGGGCTTTTCGGACAGGAAAATTCTGACATCATTTACAGTATTTGTAATACAGGCCCCAAATGGACCAGAATTTTCCAAGATTTCAGCAGGACTGAATGCTGCCAGATGGCTGAAATCTGGACACAATGCTTCAAATAGCACTATTTGCCCACTAGCATCGCTCTCTAGCAGGCAAATAGTTCAAAACCCTTGGCAGGACAAGGGTTAATCATGTAAATACTAGCTAGGAAACCATTTTAAATAATTTAAAATTAAATCAATAAATAAAAAGTCTGTGGGGACAATAAGAGCCCCATATTACAATAATGCCATGCGACATTAGCATGTCTACTAAATTTTTCAAAATAGTGACTGGGCATCATGGGCATTGAGTAGGGGAGACTTTAAAATAAGCAATTACATAGCATAATCCCCCTCCCCTCATTGTTTTATTAACTAGGACCCCCATCTGCCACCATGGTCCTCCACCCTGCATATTATTATAAGGGCTCCCACCTGCTGCCATTGACTGTGGGCATGGGGGAGGACACTAGGTAATCTGCACAATGGGGGGGGGAGAATATAAGAAGGCACGGGGGGGAGGGTAGGGGGTAGTCTGTCCACCCACCATTGCTTATTTTAATGTCCCCGTAAGATGCAACCTGTTTGTTCACAGGCCCCATCCTGGGACTTCTAACGACTGGGGAGCAATTACTGTTGGCTTCTTTGGTCTTACATTTGAATTTCACTTTCCCAACTTTTCAAATGGACAAAGAAGGACTTTTTCATGTTAGGGGTGTATGACCAGGGGTGGGGATGTTCTGAGTAATTTTATGTGACTTAAATAACTTATTTGCACAGACTGATTTCACATTTATTGTAGTTTTAAAAACACATTACTGTTAATATGATTGCAGTGGGGCCAGTGGCGGATCCAGGGGGGGGGCAACGGGGCAATTGCCCCCCCCGAGAAATCCGCCGGTCTCCCTCTCCCCTGCCAGTGCTAGCCCTGCAATGTGCCTGCGGACCGGAGGGGAGATCAGAGATCTCCCTCCCCAGTCCGCAGGCACTGTGCTGGCAGCCGGCAGGGGAGGGAGAGGGAGGACCCGGAGCTCAGTCTGCAGCTCCTCCGGGTCCTCCTCTCGCGAGATTTGGAGCGTTGCCGCGGTTACCACGGCAACGCTCCAAATCTCGCGAGAGTGAACGTGGGCTAGAGTTCACTCTCCACACTGGAACCACCAATGAATCCCCCACCGGACCACCAGAGATCGAAATATGTCCCCCCTCCTCCCCAGTAAAGGTAAGAAGGGAGGGGGGACATAGGATATTTATTTATTTTAATTCAATTAAAAAATATTATATAATTTAAAAAAAGCCACCCTACCCTGATCACACACACACACATTGCCCCCAATACTGCCCCCCAATACACACAAACTGCCCCCCATTCACACAAACTGCCCCCATTCACACAAACGGCCCCCCCATTCACACACACTGCCCCCCATTCACACACTGCCCCCATACACACAACAGCCCCCATTCACACAAACTGCTCCCCATTCACACAAACTGCCCCCCATTCACACAAACTGCCCCATTCACACAAACTGCCCCCATTCACACAACTGCCCCATACACACATTCCACACAACTGCCCCTTACACACACACACACATACTGCCCCCATACATACACACACACTGCCCCCCATACACACACACACACACTGCCCCCATTCACACACACTGCCCCCATACACACAAACTGCCCCATTCACACACACTGCCCCCATTCACACAACTGCCCCCCCATACACACAAACTGTCCCCATACACACAAACTGCCCCCATACACACATACTGCCCCCATACACACACACTGCCCCCCATACACACAAACTGTCCCCATACACACAAACTGCCCCCCATACACACACATACTGCCCCCATACACACACACACTGCCCCCATACACACACACTGCCCCCACATACATACACTGCCCCCACACACACACACTGCCCCCATACACACACACTGCCCCCACCATGCCCCCATACACACACACTGCCCCCATACACACAAACTGCCCCTCATACACACAACTGCCCCCCATACACACACACACACTGCCCCCATACACACATACTGCCCGCCATACACACACACTGCAATACTCACACACACTGCAACTGTTACACACATACACTGCATCCCTGACATACACTGCCGCCCTCACTCACACACTACAACCTTCACACACACACACACACACTGCACCCCTTACACATTGCACCACTCACACACACCACTGCTCCTATATCTTACTACAGCCCCATTTCCCAGCAGATCTCAGGTAAGTTGTCAAACTGTTCTTAAACGGTTTGACTACTTACTGTGGGAGGGGGTCCCGGCACTATTGACACCATAACCACTACACTGAGCTGTAGTGGTTATTGTGTCTGGATTATTTCTTTAAATAATCTACAAGTGCCCCTCCCGAGATCAGGCTCTGGATCCGCCACTGTGTGGGGCTATGTTATACAATCTGATACAATAATTATATCGAGCTCCAAGAAAAGAGGGACAGAGGGGATTAAACCACCCTAAATAAGGGCTACCCTTCTAAATAGGAATACTTTTAAAGGAATGCTTTAGTGAATAACCCTTTCTATGTTGTAATTGCTTCACTTATATTCAGGAATGTACTATTTTTCTACTAAGTAGACTTTTATATATTAATGAACAACTCATATGTATATACTCCTTAATTTTGTAATCTAGTATCATACGTTCTGAGAGTAAATAAGAACTAATCGACCAACCCAGTCTCTGTCAATACTGATATCTTACACCTTTTATGTTGACTTGTGTTTCAGGTGAGGCTATTACTCATGTCAAGCATTTTTTATTTCCTTTACTGTGTTAATGTATACTGCTTCCACTTGAAAGTAATTCCTGATATCTACCCCCCTTTCACTCAGGGCCGCTGCAAGGATTTTTGGCTCCACAGGCAAAGGTTCATTTTGCCGTCCCCAAAATTTTGCCTGTGTAGACCTACGTGTATCTTAATCCCCCTTTTGCCCCACTTGCTAAACCTTTTGCCCATGTGTGTATCATAACCTCATTTTGTGTCTTTTTCCTGTAGATTGTGTCCCCTTTTGTCATTCTTAGTCCCACTTTAATATCTATCCCCTTTTGGGGTCTCTTACACCTCAATTGTCTCTTATTCACCCTTTTAAATATCTTTAGTGTATTTTACCCTTGTTAGTGTATGTTATCCCACCTTTGCCCTTTTAACCCCTTTTGTGTCACTCATCCCCCTTTTGCCACAAACTAGGAAAAAATTCCTTCTTGACCCCAAAATAGCAGTCAGATGTCTCCTTGGATCAAGCAGCTATTACCCCACTAATTAGAAATTATATCCCTGTATGTTATGTTTTTGTAAGTATTTATCCAATTTCAGTTTAAACATCTGTATGGACTCTGACAAAACCACCTCTTCAGGCAGAGAATTCTATATCCTTATTGTTCTTACTGTGGTATTTAAACTCCCCATATGTAGGATATTACTCTCACAAGATTTTCAGTGCAGGTTATATGAAATAAAACACAAGAGAAGGCCCATAGTGCTCTCTATATTAAAAAAGTGCTGGATAAAATAAGAGACAAACCGCTCTGTGTAAAGCGCCTGGGTGGTACGATCCCCACCATGGATTCTTTGGATGGTATAAAAGCTTCAGATGTTTAGGATATGCCAGGTAAAAAAAATAAGGATAAATATAAAAGTATTTAAAATAGTCAGAAAAAATACTTTTATTTAGATTAAAACACAACACGTTTCGCCACAAAGGGCTTCTTCAAGTGTTCTCACCCTGCTGCCGCTCGCCTGTCTGCGCTGCAGCATAACTTCGGCCTTCCCGCTCACCGCCTCATATGCGACGTGCCCACAAAGTGGAACTCCACCTTGCACATGCTGGAGAGACTGTGCGAGCAGCAGCAGGCGATAGTGGAGTTTCAGCTGCAGCACGCATGGGTCAGTCGCTCTGCGGAACAGCACCACTTCACCACCAATGAGTGGGCCTCCATTCGAGTACTCCACCAACATGGCCAGTGCTGATGACGCCGTTATCAGCCTTACTATCCCGCTTCTATGAAAAAACGCTTCGGGCGATGATGGAAGAGGACATGGAACAGGAGGAGGAGGAAGAGCGGTCATTTCCATGGTTATCAGGCCAGTCATTCACAAGTAGCTCGGAGGGTGGGTTCCTGCACCAGCATAGGCCAGGTACACAATTGTACAACATCTCCACACTGTCCCATGGAAGCGTTCAGCTGTCCATCTCCCAAAAAAAACAGAGAGAAAGAGGAAGTACCACCCTAGCCACCCGCGATCCCTGGCCCTGAATGCCAGCATTTCAAAATTTGTGGCCTTTAAAATGCTGTCATTCTGTCTGGTGTAGACGGACAGTTTTAAAAATCTGATGGCGTTATTGAGAAATGCACCGCAGGCCGAAATGTTTATTTTCTTTTTTCTTTTTTTTATATTTATTTTATTTTTCCAAAA